AGTAGTAGTAGTAGTAGTAGTAGTAGTAGTAGTAGTAGTAGTAGTAGTAGTAGTAGTATAGTAAGTAGTAGTAAGTAGTAGTAAGTAGTAGTAAGTAGTAGTAAGTAGTAGTAAGTAGTATAAGTAGTAGTAGTAGTAAGTAGTTCGTAGTAGTAAGTAGTAGTAAGTAGTAGTAAGTAGTAAGTCGTAGTAAGTGGTAGTAAGTGGTAGTAAGTAGTAGTAGTAGTAGTAGTAGTAGTAGTAGTAGCAGTAGCAGTAGTCGTAGTCGTAGTCGTAGTAATAGTAGTGGTAGTAGTAGTAGTACTACTACTACTAGTAGTGGTAGTAGTGGTAGTGGTAGTAGTAGTAGTCCTCGTCCTCCTCGTCGTCGTCGTCGTCGTGGGAGTAGTGGGTAGTAGTGGGTAGTAGTAGTTAGTAGTGCCGTAGTGCGGTAGTAGTAGGGGTAATAGAGTAATAGAGTAGAAGTGGTAGAAGTTGAGCGACGGTTTCTGGCTGTCCTGCTAGGCGAAGGTGGGCCTTGTCATCCACCTTTGCGGCAGCGTCAACACAGAGAAGATAGTAGTTGTGGTAACTGTAGTTCGACTCGTAGTGGGGTGGTCGGAATGAAAGAGGTACTAGAAATAGTTGGGATAGTGGACGTTAGTTGGAACTATCAAAGCAGCGGGAGAGGGTGCGGGGGAGGGCGCAGCGCGTCCCCCGCAACGCAAATCAAGTATAGGCAGCGCTGGTCCTGGTCTGCTTCGTTTCTTGGCTGGTTGTTAGAGCTGAGCCTGCTCTTTCATTCACCTTTGAATTCTGGCGCGGCTAAGCGAAGGTGGGCCTTATCATCCACCTTTGCGGCAGTGGCAATGCCAAGAAGATAGTAGTTGTGGCAGCTGTGGTAGGACTCGTAGTGGGGTGGTCAGAGTGATAGGACGGCTAAGCGAAGGTGGGCCTTATCATCCATAGTCGTTGTGGTAACTGTGGTAAGACTGGTAGCGGGGTGGTCGGACTGATGGAGGCGCTGGTAATAGGAGGGGTAAAAAGCGGGAGGGGGCGTGGGGGGAGGGCGCAGCGCCTCCCCGCAATGCAAATGAAGAGCGCTTTTCCCTACTGGGAAATACACTACCAGCAAGCTAGCGCCCGGGGAACATGGGATGTTGCGTGCACTCGTTCTTGGTATCTCTCCTCCAGCGGCTTCGTCCGAACGGCGACGGCGCACCGGCGCACCAGCCCGGCGTCGGCACCCTGTCTCCACCACGTGCACAGCCACACCCATCCACCACACGCATAGCCAGCTCACAGCACCCGGTACCGGCACTGTCCCCAACGTTGCAGGTGCTGGAGTCGTTGGCGTATTGCCTCCTCCTGCCGGCATAGGGCGTGGAAGGTCTGTGCCAGGAATCCAGTGCACTGGCACATTCTGATATGCCGCAGGAAGACCTCCTGGAGGAGTTGCACTGCTGAAGCCTGGGTTCATCAACGGCGGAGCCGCAACCTGAGGCTGTACTGGCTCCTTCAACGCCGTCTTTTGGCATTCGATCAGCTCACGAAGCAACGTGTTCGTTTCTTTCTGACACTCTTGAAGGCCGTCGAACCCTTCACACAAGCTAGCCAGACCCTCCATGCACTTAGTGGCTGTCACGGAGGTTTCTCCAAGCAGCTTGCCTTGCGACATCATGTGCTCCTTTAAAGAAGTGTTTTGCAATTTGCCACTTCCACTCATCTGCCAGCTCGAGTCAGCTACTGACTTTCCGATGTTCTTCACTTGCTGGATCAAAGGATTGATCGCGTCAGATCCAACCTTTATGTGCGCAGCGCAGCAAGTGCCACGATGGCCTCGCTCATTCTGGTCAGCGACATGTGCTGGCTGTCGATCTTCGGTCCAAGAGCGCAGCTCGCTTCGCCGATCTTTTCGGCTGCTTCCCCCATTCGCTGCATCACCTGACTCAAAGCACCAAACTTGTTGGTGGCCCACAAAAGGGTATCCAGCAAGCTTTCGACACGTACCTCGCTTGGAGGTCCTGGCTCAGCCAGGCTGGCGCCATCACTTCTTTCCAATTCCTTGTTGTGTAAGGAAATCCGTTTTTCAAAATAGCAACACCCAAACATGGCAGCAGCAGACCTCAGGGTTGCAAGCAAGTTTCCCAATCTCGCCTCTCAGGTCTGTCAGGGACTTACCCTGGCATCCAAGCAGGCTCTCATTCATGGGTGGGGTTGGCACCAACAAATTAGTAAGCGCGCAGCCAGCTCACAGCACCCAGCACCAGCGCCAGCATCCAGCAACGGCACCCTGTCTCCACCACCAGCACCAGCACCACAGCCAGCACCCGCAGCCAGCTCAACCCACCCCCTCACTCACTCACTCACCCACCCACCCACTCACTCAGACGGGTCGCCAGGCGCAAGCGTGGAGCGAGGCGACCTCCAGAGGAAGAAACGACCAAAAGAAGAGAGCTGAAAGGCTGGAGTGTAGCCAGTGCGTGCGCGCAGTGGAAGACCTTGGAAGACTTGTCCGGGGACACGCCGCTCTCTCTGGCCAAGCAAAGCAGCACTTGTACAAGGGTGTTGCTGGAGCATTGCTGGAAGCACGTAGCATGCGTACACATGTTTGTTCGATGCGGGGAAGAACTTCAAGAACGTTTGGGTTGGTTGTTGGTGGCGGGTGGTTGGCGGTTGGTGGTGGTTGGTTGGTGGTTGGTGCGTGGTTGGTTGGGTAGGTGGGCGGGCGGGCGGGCGGTTGGTGGTTGGTGGTTGGTGGTTGGTGGTTGGGTGGTTGGGTGGTTGGGTGGTTGGGTGGTTGGTTGGTTGGTGGGTGGGTGGGTGGGTGGGTGGGTGTTGGTTGGTTGTTGGTTGGTTGGTGGTTGGTTGGTGGTTGGTTGGTGGTTGGTTGGTGTGCGGGAGGGGGGAGGAGGAGAGGAGCGGATACAGCACTAAAAACAAAAACCCCACACATCAATGTGGGGAACAAACAAAGCATCCAATTAAGCCGAGGTCGCGTGTGCTGCCCGTCGCGCCGGCCAGATTTGGGGTGGAGTTCGATCATGATATTAGGGAGGCCCACAAAGCTGGCCCAAGGTTCAGGACATAGACCAGTCTACCCATATGCTTAGGTGTCTCCCAAGAAAGGAAATACACACCTAGAAGTCCACTTTGTTTCTGCACGCCACTAGTGGTTTGAAGACCTTGGTTTAGCGTGAACTTCCGGAGCTGCTGGGGTTTGCGGGCGATCTGTGCAGAACTTCTGGAAGCCGACCTCCAAAAATGCCTCAGGTTTGGGGGGAACCCACGGAGTTGGTTTGCGACCATAGGTTTGGTCGATTTGCAAGTGGCGGCTGTGGAGAAAGTAGGAAAGAAGAACAGCCATGTGTGAATTGGCCAATTTCACCAGCCCAGTGACCTTTGGTAACTCACTTTGGATGCTGCAACTCCAGAAACATGACATGAGGACTAGGTGCTATCAATCCCATATTTTCCTTACGTCTTACTATCATGTGTTTGCATTTAAAATTATATGAGTAACCTTTTGAGAGTTTGCTTTGGAACGTTTGAGGGTCTCAACAAACTCTTCGCCTACTACCCCAGCACAAGAACGAATGCGTATGAGTGGTGAATAGACTGAGTAGACAGGTTTCCCGCCGCACGCCTTGGCGATGCAAACCCATCCGCTTTTCAACCCATTCCGATGCACAGTGCAATCGATGACCGCTTTTCACGACGCGTTGTTCGGCAGCCGACCCGACGGACCCAACGGACCGGGTCGACGACGGCCAGGTCTATTTCTCTTCAGAGTGGAGCTTTGCACAGTCGGGGCCGTCGCGACCGGGGGAGTCGGTGGTTGACTCGGAGTTAAGTGATCCTCAAGAGTAGGGGTCATCAGGTTTCGTCAGGTTTCATCTCTGGGAATAAGCCTAAGATGTAGATGTTTGGAACTTGGGCATGCTGAGCATTCATGGTGATGCATACTGAGGCCAAAAGCTGATGTGATGGGTCAAATCATGTCAAAACCATTCAAAACCTATACCTGGACAGGTGTCCAATGGAGACCTATAAGGAGTGTGGGGTTATCCACAGGTGGTTTCGTTGGAAGCAGCAGGTAGGAACCTGACCTGTGCTCGAACGCCCCTTCAGATTCAATGCCCCGATGGTCGGCTCGCCCAGGTTCCGCGTGCACGACTATCGAAACATCGCCGCCTTTAGCGCGCAGAGCCCCCACACGGTGCAGAGGGGGAGGGGTTGGGAGGGGGTGATGACAGGCCTGAGGAACTTAGCAAGCAAGTACGAAAGTTTTAGGACGTCACAAAAATTGGACTAAGCACCCTTACCAATGGAGCAGGTTCTGGCCCCTTTCTGGGGTTGGATGACGCTGGTAACGAAAGATCAAAAGAGACCAGAAGCAACAATTTGCTGACACTGAGAAAGGAACACTCACAATAAACATAAGTATACCGACGCACCGCCGCACCGCGTTTTTCTGGGCGTCCATTCATCGCCCTTTTGTCGACTTCGGTCGACTTCGGGACACAACCGCGCGTCGACCGGGTCCAGTCCTGGCGGTCGGGTCGGTACACACCACCAGACCCAGACACACCAGTGCGAGATCTGGACATGAAAAAAGCGGATGAGTCGGAGGACCCGTTTGAGCCCTACGTTTTAGCATCGTTTTAGCTGGTTTTAAAACATGCTTGAGCTGGTTGGGTGATGATGTGATTTTCCCGAACATATCCATGTAACTCCCCCAAGTGGTTGATTCCTTTTCCCTGGCCTTCACTTCGACCCAGACAAGGTTGACCTGGTGTGTCCATTTATATATCTAAAATCCTGAAAGTAAAACAGCTCGGTTGTTCGGGATTCAACCCACTCAATCACTGGAAAAGGCACTCCTAAGGGCTCCACTCCTTGGGGGTTCAAAAGGCCGGGAAGTTTCACGAAGATCCCGCGAGGTTCCATCGTCGTGTGGCGAAAACGACAGGTGATCATCGTGTGCGCCAACGGCTCCTACTACAAGGTGCAGAACCTGGTGGGAAGCGATTCAATATGATTCAATCATGGTTGACAGTCGACAAGACTGCAAAAGGAATAAAGACACCATTAAACAAACAAGATGGAACCCACGAACCCGAATGCACACACACAATGAAAAACAAACGGCCAAGCATTGTTTCAAAGTCTTTTGGGACACTCTTGTAGGAGACAGTGTTGTGAGTCACTCTCGTGTGAAATTCTTGTCGTGCGACACTCTTGTGGGACACTCACTCCTGTGGAAAATTCTTGTGGGACACTCACTCCTGTGGAAAATTCTTGTGGGACACCTTTGTGGGACACTCTTGTAGGGCACCCTTGCGGGACACTCTTTGTGGGACGCTCTAGCTTTCTCCAAAACTCACGCGTCAAGTCTTCAAAAACGAGCGTTTCGCGAGACTTCCTCCAAAAGTTACATGTCAAGTCTACACAGCGGGCGTTTCGTTCGAGACATCCTCCAAAAGTCCAGAGTTGCTGTCGCTATGTAGGGCTGCCAGGTCAAGAGCGGGCGGTCGGAGGCATTGGAAAAAAACGGGAGTGTAAGACACTGTTTTTACCTTTCATTTTGAAGCGGAGAAACGGTGGACTTCACCACAGTGACTGCCTGGTACTCTTCTTCGCGGCTGCCCATGCGAGATATCAAAGGTATCGAGCTTCAAGCATTCAAACATGCACAAAACTGTTCAAGAACTGCTCACACTACAAAAGCTACAAAGACTTCTCGTCACAAAGCTTCCAAAGAGTAAGTATTCCATCAGCTAGTCTTCACAAAGCTCTCCAACACACATCCAAATGTTCAGAAGTTCCGGTGGGTAACCATTGTGTATAAAACTCTGGAGCTGGACTGGCTGGACATGAAAACGCCACACCACACGTTTGGGATGTTTTCAGACCTTCAAGACCTGAAGGTCTTCCGAGTCGAGTCGCCTCGCCTCGCTTTCCGTAGCGGAAGGTGCGCTTCGACCCAAGTAGTGGTGGAGAGATGATCCGAGAGGAGCCCGGGAAGCGCAAGAGAGGCAAGCTTGCCGCGGCAAAGAGAGGTTGAAGAAGCAGAAAAACCAATGGGGTTGTTCGAAGATGTCAGTTGAAGAGTGCAGATGATTTCAGTTAGTTCACAGTAACATCAAAAATAGCATTTTGTTATATATGCATTTATCATTGCCGCAACAAAGTAGTTAGGAGTTAGGACTGGGAAACATGGTTGAAACATTCATAGTGGTTCAGCTTTCCACGCCTTCGTGGGCCGTGAGATGGGTCCTACTTGGCATGGACGATCCTTAGAGCCTTAGAGACGCATTTCCACCACCAGAAATCTCCTGGTCGTTCTGAAATCGGTCCGGGGGAACCCATCCGGATCGGATGACCATGGATCGGATGGAGTGTAACACACCTTGGGCATCAGGCCAGGTGGTTCTCGCATTGGAGAGAAAAATCCGGCCAGTGAGAGAACTGGCCACTTCAGGTGTTCTTGGCGCGAGCGAACGCCGCGCGTTTTGACCCGCGAAAGAGGTGACAGTAAGACTTCAGAGTGCTCGGTGAGGTACAAAGAATTGAACCTTACTTGGAATTTCTACATCCAGGCACGTGCCGGGCTTTCAGGAATCCCATGTTTTTTGGAAGCTTAACCAGGTTTGCTGCATGTACCATCATGTACCTGGTTTTCTTTAACCTGAGGGACTGAAATGGCCACCCAATCCTTTCGCAAAAACGAACGCAGCTTCCTTTGACGCTTGTCGCGCTTCTGCGTGGTCGGGGCCCCTTATGCTTGTCTCAGCTACGGACCGTGGCTCCGGCCGTCCTCGGTTCGTCCTCGTCCGCAGGAGTACCACCAGTTTGACGGCGCGTTAGAGGGCCGAGAGATCCAGGCCCGACGATCGGACGTGTTTGTTCGGGGGGTGGTTTCTGGCAGGGGCAGACCGGGCTTAAGCCCCAATATCTAGCAGAGGTGGTTCTTTGATCCCCTTTTGTTTCACAAGTGCCACAAGAGGTTGACCTGCTGATGATTCATCCATTTGGCTCATGTTTGGACAACCAGGAGTCTGGGAGGGGCATGAGCCATGATCGTTTTCAAGGTTAAAAGAGTGGCTTCCCTTTGTTCTTTCAGAGGTGTTTTTTTCTGCAAACATGGACTTGGGGTAATATAATGATGTTGAGCCCCAGTCAACACACCACTCTGGCTTTGTTTGTTCCATAGCTTGGTTTAGGGATTGGCTCTCAAACCAGTGTACCATGTCAAAGGCTTTTGCCATGTTTAGTTGCACTTAGATCAGCAATGATGTTTACGCCACCGCTAATTAGGTTGATGTTTGATGAACGATGATCTTTGTTTGCCTGTGATCAGTAGTATGCTCTCCCATGGTTGGTCACCACTCTGCCTCAAGTAAGCAAACCGCATGTGAGTGTTGGTGTGCGGATGTCTTGAAGTTCATGGTGGATGGGAAAAGTTGGACAATCAAACACACGTATACCAGTTCTATAATATACCCTATACTGTGGACCTTCCGAATGATTGGTGTCTTCACCATGCCTTCAAAAAACGAAATCTTCTCACAACCTTTTTGATCTAAAGAGATATATACACCTGGACCATCCTGTCTGGGTGTCCTGTCGATCCCAAAGAGCGGTGGAGGCTAGTCCAGCCAGGTGACCTGTTGGATGGGTCCTGGTATGTTCCATGTGTGTGGTCACCAATGTGTGTTGATCATGGTCACCCATGGAACTACTGTCCAGCCAGGTCACCTGTTGGATGTGTGTTGTCACCTGTTGGTGTCCTCCTGGTATGTTCCATGATCGTCTTGATACGATCATTGGTGTCTGGGTACTGTATGTAGGTGTCCTCGGTTCCAATCCCAGGCCCACGACCTGGGACCTGGGACTGTCATAGGACTGCCACAAAACCACCCCGGCTCAAGCACCCCAAATAGTAGGTTCATATATATATATATATACTGTATGTGAATATGCCAGGGTATCTGGAGTGTTTGGGTATCTGGATGTGTCTGGAGTGTCGTCGCGATCCTCGTGGCGTGCCACGAGGTCCGGTCCGTTGCTTGACCGGACCGGAACCGGACCCGACTGCTGTGGCGTGACCGGACCGGAATTGCTGAAGGCAGCTGTATCTAGAAACTCCCAATGTTCGGCGTATCTATTGAGCTAAACATAGCTAAACTATATTGAACCACACATTTCACACAATCTCTTAAGATTAATTCCACCTGGTCTTCTGAACTCCAACTTCCAAAAACCCTTAGGAAACTCACTCGCCTTGTTTCATTTCGACCTCCCCTCCCCCAACCCCCCACGACTCGCGACTCGCTCAGGTGCCCACCGCGCTAGGCGAGTCCCATGCTTTGGTCGAGGGATGTGGACAGGGTCGAAACCGGAAGGCTTGGGGTTTTCCACATGAACAGAATGGACGGCCTACAGGACATCAACAGGACATACCCTGGTTTGGAGGCTGGGTTTTGACCCACCGTGCTGAGGCCGTTCTAGCAGCAGTTCGATGGGTCGGAAGGAGTGTTTCATCCCATGTGGGGGGGTCCCCGGACGGGGGGTCCCCGGCATCCCGACATGGAACTGGTAGACCGACATGGAACTGCTGGGGTGATAGAACAAGCCCCCATCATCTTTAGAGCCTTTAATGGCCGATGATCTTTAGCCATTAATGATCTACAGTTCATCTAGCCATTAATGATATCTAAAGAACTGTAAATTAAAGATATATATATATATATACTGTGCTAAAAGCATTCATGGCTACATGGGACGAAACATGTAAGACCAAACAGGTGGTGGACTCACTCACCACTTCCACCATGACGGGAAACCGAAGGAGGGTAATAAGACGGCGGAAGAATTGGATGCACAGCTTGCCTGCAGCCGATGACTGCATAACTACTCACACTCCCCACCCCCGAATCAGCTGCCTTGCACACAGTCACAAAACCCAGCGTTCACCAGTAAAGAAACGCTCCAAACACCCGATTTCCATGGGGATTTAACATCTGTACTGCGCGCCGAAATCTGTTGGAACACCCGATTTCCATGTATTTCAGTCATGAGCTTTCTTAAGAAGTTTGATCCACCCGTCATATGGCCGGGTGTGTATTTTTATAGGGAGACACCCAACCAATGGGGTAGACTGGTCACATGTTCCTTTTTCCAGGGGGTGCTTAGGAGGTCTCCCTATTTGAGATCATCATCCACACCCTCTTGAGGAGTCCAACTCAGCTTCTCAGCTCGCTTCTCAGCTCGCTCGGCACCGGCACACGAGGCGATCCAGGCACCTGAGGCGATCCGGGCACTCGAACATGCTCGAACGACGTTGAACGGCGCTGGTCCCCGGGGAAATCGAAGGAAGGCGCAGCGCAGGTCCCGGGCGCAGCGCGCGCAGCGCTTCTTCCATGCGGTGAACTACGCAGGAGCAAGTTCCAGCGCGGAACGATGTACTGTTCAGGTTTCGGCGGAAGATTGGGTAGGTATACTGGACTTGCTGGGCACTGGAAAGGGAAGTGATTGAAACAGATTTTGATTGGTACTCTGCCTGGAACTAACATGCAGTGGAAAACGCTCTGTCTGTAGAGGAAAATGGTTGGGGTGGTTCTTCATTGAGTGGCACATAGTGGCACGCTTGAGGTTTCATCACACGTTGGCACAAGGGGGTAAGTAGAGCTTTCTCACGTGTCTCGCATCAGATTTTGATTTATCCAAAGAAAGCTCTACATGAAAAGGCGAACCCCCCTCCAAACCAACCTTTCTTGGAGAAGTACTTGAAAGTACTTGAAAGTGCTTCCTCATCTTGCGGAGATCTTCCAAATCAACTTCACTTCAACAGACTAGTTCGGGTTCAATCCCCATGTTTCACTCCATGTCATCACTCCATTTCAGCCCCGGGACTCAGGGCCACCGACCGCCCTCCTGGTCGCAGGTCCCGTGTGCTCCGAGTCGGTGCGACGTCCCAGAACACGGGCGACGCGAGGGTCCGTGGGTCGGGCGACGTCGAGGACGGCGAGAGTCGGAGGACCAGTCGTCCTTCTGTTAATTTAATTCTTATAGCGATGCACTTGTTACTACTAGTAAGGCACTTGTTTCTAGTAGCGTGGCACTTGTTACTAGTAGCTTCACATGTTCTCTGAAAAATAATCTCTTGGTTTGGCCGCGAGGTCGGTCTACTGAGGTGTGAAAACAGGTGCACCCCGTTTCTTTGGGACCATAGAAGGATGGCTCTATCAAAGAGTCATAAATGGAGGGTTACTTTCGGGTACGGGATGTTTCGAGGATGTCTTTTTGCGGCAGCATGTGTTTTTTTCAGTCCTCCGCCATTGGAAAAGGGCACGAAACCATTGGAAAACCGCCGCAGACCAAAGGGTAAACAAACGACCCGGGCATGATGTGTTGAGTTCATGTGCTTGAAGACTTCGCAGAGATGACAATGTATAGTATAGACAGTGTATAAGAGGGTTGGGGCAGCCACTCAATTTCTGCACATCTTGAGCATGCATGTCGATTGGACGCGTCAGTCCTCACAGTCCTGGCTGTCCTCCACAGGTGGCACCACAAAGTCATCGTGCGCAATGAAGTCATTGCGCAGCCCCAGAGCTCGGGTGGGTCTGAATCGAAGACCCGCCCGGCCGAGGCAAAGTCCTCTGAAATCCGAACACTCGGAGTGGCCGTGGCACGATGTTTGCTTCACATTGGAGTGTTTAAGAATGGATGCAGTGATTGAGGTGGCTATATTGAGGTGCAGTATGTCAAGATATAAGATGACTACAGGATACTACAGGTCAGGTGTTTTATGTTTCGGCACTGTTTAGGTTTGGTGACCAGTCAAGCAATTGCGTTGCTCCTTTCTTTGAAAGCATATGAGTCCAGGATGAGTCCAGGCCCTAACGAACGAGCCAAATCCGAGTGTTCAGGGCCCTTGTTTTGAAGAGGGCAGAGACGATTAGGCCACATAGACAGATGGCGAGATGTGCATGAGCCGCAGCGGACACAATGACATTGTTTTGGGGTGGTCAAGTGTGGACTGACAGAAAACACCTTTCGTTTCAATCAGATTGGTTGATGTACATGACAGGTATCCAAAGGTTAAGTTTATCCTTCCCCCTAACTACACCCCTGCACAAAGAACTTGAACTTATCACATGTTTCGGGCGTGACCCTCCATGAACGAGCTGGGCGGAGGTTCACCCCTGGCAGCCTGAGAAAGGACTTTCTCCTCGAAAGATAAAGCAAAAACATGCAAAAACCAGATCATTAAGTGAATTAATGTACCTGGATCTTCCAACTGTGCCAAATGTGTGCCTTTTCGTCCATAAAGTAAAAATCGTCAGCAGGCAGAGGATGTTGCGTCGTTGGAAGATCCAGGTAAAAACCATTTAAAACCAATCACATCAACAACTCCACTGCAGCCTTTGGGTCACATCTCACCGTCCTTGAGCTTCGTGCCTTTCTCCCTGAGGATGGTCCCAACCAGCGGACCGGACGCTGGGGACCACGGAACGGGGTGGGAACTCGATGCAGCCCCATGGTGGCCGGTGGGATCTACAAAGCGGTTGGTTCTTGGAACTTCTTCAGTTCCCCGAACCTATGGCTTTGTCGATGCGGAGATGGCCACAAGCCTGCCCCACCCAAGACTTCAACCTATTGAGTCTATGAGCTTCCCGGTTGCTTGGTTTCTCGCCCAACTGACTCAGTCTTTTTGAGGTAAGCTGCAAAGCGTCGATGATACCAGGAGCTTCTTTCCTTTGCCATTCTTTCCAACAGGCTCATCAATCTTGTGTTCTTTGGGATGTTTGCAAACTTGGATTTGGTACACCGGTCGTCCCAGCAACCCCATCACAGATGAGGGAGAAGCCAGACGCGTTCAAGATCGAAGAGTGCGGTGGCAAAAAGGAGCGCTGTCTTTTTGAATTTCCGCTTGCGAACCACGTGGAAATCATGGCCGACAACGACCCACGTTCTTCCGAATCAGCTTTTACCGTCCGGAATCCGCAACTACAGATATTTTGCCGCAACGTGTTCGGCCAGCACCGGCCACTGGCGCGCGTGTCGCCGCAACACTTCCCACGCAGCGCCATGACGGCGGGGCGTGGTACCTGCACCTTTCATCTGCCTGTGGATGTCTCTCCTTCAAACAGCTGCAGGCGGATCGCATGCATCAAATGTCCCAATTGACGCCGTTAGCCGCGTGGATCCACGTCAGACCTTTCACCTGGAAGAGCCTTCCTGGGCCGGGTGTGGACTGACAACCCCCAAACCCCCCTGGCATTCCACCTGGAACGCCGCAAGCGGGACGCTTGGATTTTGGCTCCCCGCGCACCTGCGGATGTCCAGTCCGCAGCTGCCAGTGGTTTGTTTGACCCATGAGTGTACTCTTGAAATGTCCATAGAGGCAGAGCTCAAAGAAGTCCCAGTTGCGTGTATGTTGTACTCTCAGTTTTTCTTTTGTACCTCTGAAGTGTCCATCGAGGTCGGAGCTCGGAGCTGCACCCAAACCACCACCTCACCTCTCCAGAGCTTGCCCTTGTGGGCCATGTATCGTGCCATCCACCCTCGACCGGTCCCTCCGCACGGAACGACGGGCGTGGACGGAACGACGGCGTGACCAGGCTGACCTCGACGTCAGACAGATCAAACAGCGTTGACCAGCAAAGAAGACCGACCACCTGACCTGTCTGATTTGCTGGTCACCAGTCACCAGTCTCGTAAGAATGCAAATACCAGGTGCCTTCTACTGCCTCAGTAGTGCCTCACGGTTGCGCGAGGGAGAAACACGGAGACTTGCTGTCGAGATGCATGGGCGCCAGCAATTAGATAACAGGGATGTCAAGAGAGTGTTCTATTTGTTTGGAGCTCACCAGTGTGCTCTTCAGGAATCGTTCCAGTCAAAGCGTGTCACCATCATCACAGTTGTGTTTGTTCTTCACAGTAATGCCAGACGTTGATCATGATGAGGATAATTAATGATAATTATATAATCATCATGATGGTGGTGGTGCGTTTGAATGATAATCATCCGGAATATCAGAGCATACAACTCTCTCTCTCTCTCTGTCTCTCTCTCTCTCTCTCTCTCGATCGCACCACGTCCATCGAGCACTGGTTCCATCCGCGTGTGTGTCCATGTCGTTCATTCGGGGTGTGCTCAATCAAATCGATGACCACGAACCACGAACATCCGCGACCATCCACGAACCGCGAACTTGCGATCCTCCGCCGTGCTCGGAATTGTTCCACGTGCCAGCGACGGCGGAGCGAAGGGCCGCCATGGCCCATGGGTTGGCCTCCGGACCCGGACATCTTCAGCCTTGCAACCGCGCGGTTTTCAACACGTGTCAGCCGGAAGCCGGGGATGATCTGAGATCGTTGCTGCTTCCGTTGGGACACGAGCGAGCCTTCAGATCCCTTGTGGTCATCCGGACGTATCCTGAGAATCAGCATGACGACGGCATGGTTCATGTAGAACATGTGGGCCATCCACAGGGCCAACAGAGCCCCAATGACTGAATAATGCAGAATCTTGAAGAAACAACCATTGGAATTAGTAAAGCCGCTTCATATGGGGGGGTTAGCGTTATCAAGATTCTATATGAACCCAACCGGAGACCTCGAAATGACCTCGGTGTAATCCCAAGTCCAGCCAGGGTCCAAGGAAGCATCATGCGGCCCGGCCGGGCCGCATGCGGCCCAGGGGATCATTGGCCAACAACTCACTCCACTGGTTCCGCCGCAGTCTTGCAGTCTTGCTTGGTCCGATGGCACGAAGGCGGCGGGTCGATCGACCGGTCGATGGTCGATCCCGGTCTGAGGGTCGACCGGTGAAGGTGGGGGGGGAAGTGTGGAAACGTCTTGGGATGAAAGGAATGAAGCACTAAGATCTAATAAGTAAGTCCTATAAGTCTTATTAAGCATTAAGATCTAATGGACTAACAAGATAAGATCTATAAGAAGATCTAATTAAGTCAGATCCAATATTGTAAGTCCTTCGTTGAGGTAATGCAAGTTGCTGCGCGGCCGAAAAGAAAAACACTGGGAAGCCGACCTCCGTTTTCCTCCACTTTCACCGGTCGACCCTCAGAACCCCCACGCCCCCCCCCGGTGGTGAGTCTGTTGGCGCCCGCCCACGGCCAAGCCGTCTACGTCCAGCCCGTGTTGACGCCACACGTCGGATGCCACGACGGGCGCGACGAGCGCCACGGATCCGCGCGGACCGCCGACCGTGCCGGTGCCAGACCCACAGCGAACCGCTGGAGAAGCCCTGCCTACACGACGAGTAGGAAAATCGATCGACTTAAGGTCTGCCACATGACCTGTCGGTTGACCAGATGTCACAACTTGAAAGCAATATTCATATTGGCATGTCTTGGCACAGTTTTGGCAACTGAAACTGCTACATATCCTGACATTCTCCAGCACCGCAAACCACAGCAAGTTAGTCAAGAACTGCAAGTATGTGTAGCATGCTTGCACCAATATTGACCATTTCAGGTGAGTTTGCGCCAGGAAGCTTCGAGGGGTCCTCGCTTCCAAAGCCTAAACTACAGCCCAACATAGCCCGCTATAGCCCGCGACTGGGTGAATGATTCATGCGGGGGTTTCCACAAAGATCGCCATGCAGAATCTCGACAGCCCTCACCTCAACAGTCTACATACAGCACATTTATGTTTGATGCCACCTGCACGAACGAGAATGCGAAGAACTTGCAATCCAGCGCAAGAAGGGCAGCAGTGCATCCATGAAGGCCTGCAAGAAAGGCATGAAAGTTTCAAGTGCACCCCCACTGCCTCTTATTGCTTTTTGTTAGCGTATTCGACGTGCCGCAACGTCATAAAGAAACAAGCGCGTCAATCCACCACGAGCTTTCGGTCTGCGTGTTGTGGCGCTTTCGTTGGGTTTTCCTGCTGACATTCGACGACATCCTACGACCCGCCACGTAGGCTGTCGCACCATTTGCGAAACATCGTTCGATATCTAAGCTTCTGCCGGTCTCGCACGGCGGCAGGACATCATTCACAGACCAAGTTAGACCCTCCTGCCTCAACAAGACAGCATTGCCTTTCGTACGGGCCACGCTGCGTCGCCATTGCAAAGATAGGCTTTAGTTGTAGGTAGATTGGTTAGCTGGAAGTTGTCGTACCCGTGCGGTGCCTGCCGAGACGTAGATGATCGCTTGCTAGCTGTTTGTTTAAATTTCTAGCGCCGCAGTGAAACGTGCCAGCTCGTTGTTTTAAACTTTAAAACAACGAGCTAGGCACGTTTCACTGCGGCGCTAGAGGTGTCTTTGATCATAGTGGCTGCTGGATTTTCCGCAGTTTTTCTTCAAAGAAGGGTGGTCGCTGTTTGTCCTTGCTCACGACGTGCCTAAGTAAACCACTATCAGTCGTGAGGCCGTCTGTGTACCAAAACAGTTCGTTCGCCAAATAGGTTCGGGAACCTGCCAGAATGAGCGGGAACTCAGGTTCAAACCATCTTGGGTTTACACCGCCCTTTATGATGTCAAAACGGCTGCCGCATCCCCTGCCGAATAAACACCATAGAATCGCTGGGAAAGTTCAAAAATGACCGGCAGATTGTATAGAAATGTTTTCTCTGGAATGAGACATCAACCTATTTCAAAACAAATAGCCTAAAAACTGTCCTTTCACAGGCTGATCTTTCATGATGCCCAATAGGTTGAACCAGTCCATTATATAGAGAGGGCATGAAGACGCACCAGGTTTTGTACAATCAAATGTTGAAGTCGTGGCAAACTTCTACTCTTGAAGCTTTGCCGTTGGGTTTGAATGAATGTATGGAAACCGTAGAAAGGGGATGTGCGCATATACACGGTGAGGTATTTAAAGGCGCTCACTCTGATGGTGTTTTGCTGGCATGGGTTTTGACCTCGTTCACCCCTTCGTTCATCTTCGCTCCGACAACTCTGTGCAACTTGTGTGATTTGAGTAAAGTGCCCAGATCCTGGCCCAAAGAGATGCCAAGAAGGAGATGAACATCATTGCTAAGTCATAACATTTCCATTCAAGAAGTTTGTTGTGACTACACGACAATTGTGCTAGGGAAGTGCTTTCAGAATATAATAGAATATATACAAAAATTGCCAACTCATTGAGGTTCCATGCGGGAAGCGGGCTTTGCAAGGGCTATGCCGAACCCCCCCTCCCGGCGTCGCGTTTCCCTACTATGCCGTGACACCCGTGGTTGCGTGTAAAGGTTGCAGTTTTGATGGTGTCATTTGGAGTTGTGGAAAGTTGAGACTTCACTTCAAGGAGGATGGTGTGGTTGTGCGGTCAGGCAGGTTGATATCTCATGCGGCTTCGCTAGGTTTACGTGGTTTGTTTTGGCATGGTTTTGCTTAACATGTTTTTTCATCCCCGTTGAAATTTCCTTTCTAAAATGATGGGGCTGGAGGCCACTATAGGGCTTTCATTTTGTAATAAATTTTTTGTTGGCCATCTTTAAAATGATGTTACGGCCTAGCATTTTGTAGACAGGCGTGTTTGACGCCTACGGCGCGCAGAGTACTTTGTAATGAAAGAAGAGGGGTGGGTCCCACCATTTTGTAATAACATTAGTTTACTATAGAATGGCCATGTGGTAGTGCAAAAATTCATTCTGGAAGCAATCTGAATCTTGTAAGGCCGTAAAATCATTTTAAAGATGGCCAACATAAATTTATTGTAAGGCCACTCACTCAATTGGAAAGTTTGATCTCCTCCATGAACCTGTAATGACAAGTTGTTCACCCCGGAGAACTATGGGGGGTCGATGGGTTTTGATACACAGCCATGCAGGCCTATGCCGTTGTCTTGCTACTGGATTCCATTATGTAGATACCATGCCTATCAGGCTGTAAACACTCTTCGTTCAAACGGCGCAGGGGCCATTTTAGTGGACCAAACCCATCATGCGTTCACCAGGGCCCACAGGTTCCGACGGAGTTTTTCAGGGGACCCCCAGGCCACTCAGTTGGAAAGTTTGATCTCCTCCATGAACCTGTAATGAAAAGTTGTTCACCCCGGAGAACTATGGGGGGCCGTTTTGATACACAGCCATGCAGGCCTATGCCGTTGTCGTGCTACTGGATTCTATTAGATACCATGCCTATCGGGCTGTAAACATCATCAGGAACACATTTTGTAAAGTTGGCCGAATAAACTTCATCAATTTGTAGACAAACGGACTCATCTAGTAGAGAATAAGGAGACAACAAACTCTACAAAATGATATCGTTTTTTTATACCCTGGGAGGGCCCATCATTCTGTAGATTTTCTGCGTTTTTCATGTTTCTACACAATGACATACAGTGACCTCGAGCGCTGCATTTTGTGGATAGTATCATTTTGTAGAGCAAAAAGATTTTTACGACAAAGTGACTGTTTCGACCCCACGCCCTGAATTTCAACGGGGGTGTTTTTTCAAGTGAACATCGGCCCTGCAAAGTCCAAGCATGTTTCTGTAAATCCCAACCCACCTCTTCTGCCCAATATCCCGGTAATATCCCGGTGCAAGTTTCCATTTAAAGGTCAACCACCCTGGGTAACAAACAGGGTTTCGATTTTGTAAAAAACATTTCCAGGTACCCATTTTGGGGGGTGGGGCGGTTGATTTTGTAAGGCCAGCATTTCTTTCTTGGGGCTGTTGGTGTTGTACAGAATCGATATGTCACGAAAGGTAGCCTGGTAGGGACTACCTTGAGTTTGCCTTGCGCAGCAAAGGGACTAGCTTGAGAGCCCGCTCGGGACCACAGATTGGTAGATCAATGTCTGACACCCCCCCCGTTTCCGTGTGATGATTCATTGATTAAACAAATGTTTTGAGCCAACGGCAGCACCACCAGCATTCTCGACACCCAATCACACCATAAGGTGAAGTCACGCGCCAGCAGTCACAGCAGCACGACTCTGGCCATGAGGTTGCGCAATACAGCACGACCCTGCAATGAGGTTGCGCAATGCGGCTTCGATGCCGCACGTGCGCGCCCGGCAGGCTGACACAGCCCGTGCTGCGTTCACAGACCATATTGTTCGACACCAACCAGCATCGATACAACACTGGGGTGGTTGTCCTTGTGTGGAACATGGACCGTCGAGTCTGTAATGGATTGGCCTGCTGTAGGGCATGGAATGAAGGCATTGTACATCCTTGCATTCAGCCGGGTCAAAAGCTGCAACACAGCTTCCGACGATTTCCAACGTTGGCAATGTTTTTTCCAGTAGGGGTAGGTTCCCGCAAGTGAACTGCAGGACACAGCGAGAAGATGAAAGAAAAAACGAAACGACTTGAAGAACCGTATCGAACCGTGAGACGAAGCGTATCGAATCGTGATGACGTCGCACCGCACCAGTACAAAACCGTTAGTTCTTCCGACCCAGGGTTGAGAAATCAGAATGGAATTTGTATTTTGTTTGAGACGTCAGGGGGTTGATTTCCTGATGGTATCCAGCCAGTGTCGACAGAGTACAAATGATTTTATGAAGACTCTATTTTGAGGCTGGGGTAGTTGATTTTGTAATATCGGCTGGAAAGTTGACCCTTGCCTGCGTGCTCGGGATTTGATTTGTAACGTTTTTCAGATTTGCGAGCCTGGGGTGGTTGATTCTGCGCCACATACTCCAGAAATTTGAAGAAAGACCGCGCAACAGTTTTCAGTATAAAAACGTATAAAAATATAACCCTCATACTTCCCCCACCTCTATATGGAACCAACTTCAACCTTTCGATGCGTACCACTGTTTTTCCTCAAATTTGGGCATCAAAATCATTTAGCAAAACATATTTCCCGATATTTTTGCGCACAAAGTTGAGCATAACCACTTGTAAAGAACAGGTTCTCGGCACTGAAACGTTTCATGTTTGACTCTAGAGTGGTGTTTTTTGCAAGGGTTGGTTCGGCAATGGCTTGATGTTGCAAGGGCGCATTGCACACAACACACCTTCCGAAACCCCATTTGAAGCACAATGCCCGTTCCGGAAGCTCAATAATTGCGATCAATTTGTTTTTGTCGGTTGGTTGTTTGTTTTTTGGCTTGGTTGCTGGTGTCCTTGGTAGGCTGCTTGCTGGCTGGGTTTGGCATGCTGGTGCGGCGCGACTGGGGCCCACCGTAGTTCCACCGGAATACGCCGGAAACATGATGTTATCTCGTTTGTACCTTGTTCCCCCACGGCCACGGGTTCTTAGATGTCGCTCAGCGACCTCCCCAGTTCTTGGTTTGCTAAAATGATGTCGTACATGTTGGCAGGTGTTCTTGCATGTCTGTCATCCGTTTTCTGTTTGTCAGAGTTTAGACTCTAAAGTGGGCAAGGCGAGGTGTATTCCTGGGGTACCCCCTATCAAAATTGAACTGGGGTGGCTACATTCACATGTGGGAAACATGTGCCAGCTTGTGACACACAAAAATGCGCCACAAGTTGTGCCAAAGAGGAAGCATGGGGATGCCAACGGCACGTTTTTCAAAAATATATGCGCTGGCTGTGCGTTTGTTCACCGCAAATTTGCGAAATTTGTGTTGCAGGTGGTTGTGGTTGAACCGTCTCACCTTTGCCAGTTTTTGTCGAGCACATTTTGTTAATTAGTTAAGACAGTGCCGGGAAATGTCACTTATACATTCGCCCACCTAGGCGAGTGATTCATACCAGTGCCCCCCTTGCCTTAGTATGTTGATTACTTCTATATCCCAGCCAATGGTATGGGTATGCGGGCACGATGACCCATAGGGTATGATATGTTTCCGGTGTTTCCCCGCAGCCCAAAACAGTTGGATGTTCTTCAGGATCTTTCACTACAAAACTAGGACTAGGTCAAACGTCAACCGTGTTGTGCAAAGGCACATGAGAACGAACAGGGTCCGATCTCCTCCGTTCCGAACTCCTGCCTTCTTCCACCTGCGCCATGACTGGCAGCAAGTATGCAGTTTACAAGCCATTGACGCCCCTGGGCCTCTAGTGTTGAAGCACGATACTTCATTCCAAAAGTTCGGCATGGGCAATTTGTTGCCTCGTGTCTATATGGATCTTAGTTTGCTGATGTGAGTTGTTTTCCCCGCCGCAAGTGTAGTTCAGGATGGGCAGACCCAAACGGAGACGCCAACTTTTTGGAACAATATGTCAATCATATGTAGCGAAACATTTTACAACTTAGCGTTTTCCCACTTGCGCTGATGTTCCTCCAGCGACGCGCCCTTGGAGTTGCATGTGGTTTTGCGCATTGCGCCAATCCTTTGAAACAGTTTTTGTCGCTTGCCACCCGTTTTTGAACACAGTTTCGTTTTTAAATTGGCCAACATGTGGCCCAAATGGCCAACCGCCTGGTACCTAAGACGGGGTCCATTTTGGGTTTGCTGTTTTGGGCTCGCACGCTGGCACGGCAAATGCCATGTAGAAAACCGTTGCGCATTGTGTTTGAAAACCACGGGCCAAACATGCCCCATTGTTGTTTTTGTTTAGGTTGCACGTTTCACCTAAAGGCGTTTGTTGCCCTGGAAGTCTCAAAACCAACTATGACACAAAATTTCTACCCACCACCACCCCCCGGCTGGCTGCAGCACGGACAAGGGGAAGCGAATACAAACAACGGTGACATGCCAAAAACACCACCAATGCAACATAGATCCACTTTCCAGGAACTCAATGCTAGTGCCATGGTTGCGGCGCTTGTCCCAATTGGACCGCGCCAGTTCCAAACAGATGCTTGCAGCCTGCTGAAATTTGGTCCACTCAGCCACATCCAGCCAAAGCGCTGGCAAGGGCATTGCGGACCAATTGCTTTGTGTTTCGTCACCTTCCTGGCCTCCCGCAACTCGATGTATGAAAATGGTACACGCAATCCGCGCTGCTACCGCTTCCTACCAAGAGTGCGATCGATCATGGTTTTTTGGGTTCACTAGGTTTAAGACATAGTGGACATGGGTCGACAATAAGATGGTTGGCACCGACAGGTCTGCAAACGTGTCAGGTTAGCCAATTGTTTTAGATAACATCGTGATAATTTTTTCACTTTTCAAATTCACATGATTTGTGCAGACCTTTGGTGTGTGAAAGTCATTCTTTTCACTGTAACCAATTTCTGGTGAGGGGGTGATTCTATAGTCGGTAGCAAGGGGGGTTACACACAATTCTGTGCACCTGTGGCGTAGTGACGCCGTGTGAACAACTTAGGCAAGCTGCGCCAAATCCATCGGCGAAACGCTTGGCGTGGTTCGGAGGCCCATGCACGCGGGGCAATGTCACGTTGGAACACGCGTCTGAGAACTGAACGCAACTTCAAAAATACCTGCATTGTGTTTTTAATTGTTTCAGTCTTGGGGTGTTCAATGGTCCCCACGCAGAGGATCGGAATAAGGGTTCGCAACCACACGTACCACATTTTACCACACATAATGCTTGGACGCCTCTTGCTTGCTTCTTTGATCTGGTGAGGGTGTGGCCGCCACATCCGCCGTGTTTGATCTTTTGGATGTGTTCCTGGGGCAGCAGTGCCAAGGAGATAGGTGAGTGAGTGGGGGCAATTTGGGTGTGGAACAACCGGCAAAGGTGGGCTATATAGAGTGTTTCCTTCCATTTTTTTGTTCAACCACTTGCATTTTTTTGACTGCATGGCCCCCTCCGTTTTTGTCCATAAAAACTATCGCACAGGTTGAAATTTATATAGATAGGCATGCTAGTCCGCCCACATTTTCCCAGGCGTATTGTGTCACTGGTCTTTCAATGTTGCGTGGGAACAAACAACAATTCCTCAGCACTTGTGCTTGGCACAGAGCCCAGGGTTTCTTGAGGGCTATACAATCACAAAAATCGGCAAATGGCATCATCCAAGCAACCAATCCGATCCAGAATCCAGAGGTAGGTAGGACGACCATCAAACAACAGATAATAAATACAGTTGAAATTCAAGAAGAGATCAGGGCACCAATTGAGACCCGCAAAGCCCGACAAGTATCGAAAACAAACCATGGGCCCCTTTCGTTCCCTGCTCTCGGGGAGCTGAGGCCCATCAACTCGTCTCAGCAAGTCAAGCTGAAACGTTTCCTGGCACCTTGCCGTGACTGGTATCAAGGGCATCGCTACTAGTAGCTCCTGGCACTACTACTTTGTACCAGAAGCTACTAGTAACAAGGGCATTACTAATGGACGCCAATGGGCGGAAGTCCATTTGACATTCATGGCACATGGCGAAAGATGGTAATACTTCGGGAATGACCGCCATGGAATTCCAACTTTTGCAAGATGACGCAGATAACTGGAGAATGTTCAAATCATTGCCATGCAGAGCTCAAAAATGTTCAATATGTGTGATATCAAGTCACTTTTCTGCGTCCCAAACCGGGACAGCCAAGGACAAAGATGGTTTGGCGACACTCGATTGGTTTCAGTTTGTCACTGTCTGTAGCGTGCATCCCTTGCTTTAGGATGTGAGATTTGAAATCATGCTACGAGGTGCCGGAACGAAGATGTCATTATTTTATGACCCTGCACCTCATGGCAGCTCCCCACCTTTCGTGAACCTTTGTAAGTCTAAAGTGACGGTGTTTCATGCCGCCTCTGCCAACTGCCAACCTCCAGGAAATCTTTGGAGCGAGCTTTGCCATCGCCTCCGCCCATTCTGCTGCTGCACGACGGTCCAGGTTTGCCCTCCAAGTACTTAGAGCCTTTGGCACCGCGCCTTTGCAGCCCCAATGGCCGAAGCTGCTACACGTGAACCGGCTTGGCATTGTGCACATGGCGTGGGTGTTTCGAGCGGGGTCGGCATCGCTGAGTGTGCACCCTCGGACATCTCCTCTCTGATCTCAGGTACGACCAGCGGGGTTGTGGCCTGTCCCAGGGCGAGGGCTCTGCCGATCTGGGAACGGCGGTCCTTGACCTTCTCGCGGTGCTACGGTTCCTCCACTGCTCGCTGGGAGAGGTGGGCCTACAAGAAACGGGTGGAAATCGGCCACGCCGCAAATAGGGACTAACATCTGGGTGAACAATATTCAATATTGATCATGGTGGTCAAAAGGGCGAACTATTTACATGAAATGCAGGTTTGTTATAGCTTGGTTGTTAGTGGTGGGCATTAACCGTGCAAAGTGGGGACTTCCTTTGTCACATATAGAAAGGCGCTCATTGCAAGTGGAAACCTATGTTGCACGCCAGTTTGGAACAAGGACATGATGCGCGCCGTGTTTATATGTCTACTCGGCCACGGCAAAGAGTTGCGCATGCTTTGGTTCAACATGGGTCCATTTGACCAGTTCCGCCCAAGCAAGCTTCACCTTCAGGGATTCAATACCGGTGAGCCCTCTTGCAAGGCAGAGCTTCATATTTTGGCACACGGATTTGGAGGCGCGACATCACGCATGTTTGTATGGGCCTACCGTTGGTGGAAAATATCCTGCAACACTGGGAGACCAGCTGTGCTGGATTTCTGCCATCAACACTGTTGCTGCCCTGGCTTCTTCAATGCAGAGAAGGAACGGTATCAAATTCATGTGCCTATTTACGCTGATGCGTTCGCATAGTGGGCACAGGAGGTTCCACAATTGGCAGTGGCACCTTCGACGTTCGGCCTCGGCATGTCGCACGCTGTTGATGACCAGTGGTTTAGCGTTGGGTGTTTCGCACTGCTAGGTGCTTTGTTGATGGAAGCTCTTGCCAGACACGATCTTTTCAGTTCACCCGGTTTGCCCAAGCTGCGATCCTTTTGCTTGCCCGAGGCCTCAGGGTCCACACACACCCAAGCAGAAGAGGGATGCTATGGTCCGATGTGTTGCTTTCCGGATGTTGGGAATCTTCATGCATGTCAGAGTCAGAGCAGGTTCTATTGAGGATGTTGGGAATACCTCAGGCAGCTGAGCAGATTCTTCTTAGCAAAACGTCGGGGCCACTCGGCTTGCTCCGTCCCCCCCCCCGAGGTGGAGCGTGGCGAGTTCCACCCAGCTGGCCGATCAAGCAGCTGAAGAGCTGATGGCGGCCTCTGCGCAAAGCGTGGGGCAAGCGGATGCAGCCAGGGCCTTTTGGTTCCGACTCATGGCGGGATGGGATATGTTTTAAAATGAATGGGTTTAGGGTTTTGACAGGTTTTGCGGTTGACGTATTGTTCCTTCAGTTTCTGTTTGCTTGTGTTTCATGATGTTTCATGCGTGTCCGACATTCGCCGAGGACATGTTTGCGTTCTGAAACCACAGCCTGCCTGCCTCACGGAGGCATATCAGCAGAGCGGCTTTTCCCCGCGCTGGGGTGCACTCCGAGGCACGCGACGTATGGAGGATGTCTGAAAAGAATCACCTGCGAAGCATCTCGCAAAGCCCGACCGCCCCAACTTTTGGAAGTTTCTTGGATCCACAGTTTGGGCTGGTGACGTGTGGAACCCAAAAAAGGTGTGGAAAATAGAATGCCAGAGTGTTTTTCCTTCATACAGCTCTTGGCCTGAGAGTCCTGAGGCTCCGAACACCGTATCGGCTCCGAATTCAACGAACAGGAGTAACAGGAGGTGTTCTTTTTCACGCTGTCATCGTTGTTTCTCCTCTCGAACTTGGTGGGGCCCATTCATGTTAAAAGACCAAGAGATGTGTTATGGGCGCCTGATCCACCCAGCACATGGGCGCCAGGATGGGACTGGAAGTCCCAACGCTGGGAGCTTCGCCCGGAAGGCGGTCCATCGGTGTGAAAACCAAAGAGTCGTTGGGTGGCAATGTGTTTGGAGATTGCTGGTTTGGAGATGTCTTGAGAAGGAGGAGGTGTCTTGAATGGGTGGCAAGAGACATGTGTCTTTTCTGGACATCCAAGTGGTGATGTCAGTGAACGCCCATAATCCTCAAGCTCACATGTCCGCCCAACCTGAGCTCACGATTGAGGGAAGAGTATCCATCAATTGTGGACGTGACCAGCTGATTTCCCTTAAGTGGATCGGGCAAGCCACGATGTCGCTGGGAGCCGCAGTGGGTCCAAAGACTAAACCCAAAGACCTAGAAAATGTGGGGAGCCCTCCTTATATCCAAGAAGTCCAGGAGCCCAAAGACATCAACCGACGATTTTTGGACCTATTGTAGTAAAGGAAGTTCCTTTTCGTTCCACCTAAGGGTATACAATGGTAGCTGCGATCCACTGGCAAAAACCATTTTGAGACCCTGGGCAGGTGCCCTGGATGGCTGGAGCGTTTGTCGCCAGGAGGTGGTGGCATGTTTTCGAGGAGAAGCGAGCATGCATGTTTGTGAGTCTGTGAGTAAGTTTGTTTGTGTATTTCTGGGTTTGGTTGGATCTTGTGTTTGTTGGTTGGATCTGGTGATTTTTGCGAAGGAAGATTGCTTCAGCTAGCGCCTCTGAACAATTATCAGGTCTGATACGACCAGAAGATCTGGAGCAATTCCCACCAAAGGTCTTCTGAGTGGTTTCCGCACAATTTTGTTGTGAAGCTGGGACCCTGGGACTTCTCTTTGCAGATTTGGTGACAGACGACAGCCAGGGTTTTGAGAAGCTACCCCAGTTCACTTGAGTTCATTGGTCGCGGTTCCTCTCGTGGCGGGTTGCCGTTCTGTGGCAGCGTCGCACAGGAGCCAAACCGCCTCGCGTGCCCGTGCTCAGCCTGCGAGGGCAACATGACTTCGTCACGGAGGAGTGGTGAACAAAAATGATCAAAAATGAACCAAAATGGAGTGGGAATGTGTGGTACAGGCTTGGTACGATAGACAAAAAGGCGCGAGATGTATTCAGACATACCTGACATAGCTCCAAACTTACCCACTACCAACAAGCCCTAGGGATCCAAGTACCTTCTCAGCAGGTGATTGGACCCTCCAAACCTACATAGCGGTGTCTCCAATCACCTGCTGAGAAGGTACTTGGAGCCCTAGGGAAGGTACAGAAGTTGTTTGTTGGTGAGCACCGATCTATGACCCCCTTGGTCCCCTCGGCGCCGCGTATTTTTCGACGCCAAGCGCGTCCACAAGCCCAAGTGGCTGACACCCTAAGAGGACCACCACATTGGTGGGGTGATCGAGTTTTGCATGTGGAAATCTGGTTGGATCATGGCGGAGTTGATGTGTTTTTTCTGTTTTGTTTCTATGTGCCTGCTGTCATTGGAAATGCTCGTTCTATTCGGGGAAGCAGTATCTAGCTCAGGGTCCTTATACATCTACAGATTTCTTTTGTGCAAGCCGTGCGCGTCAACCACCAGTTGGGACGTTGGCCGTCCGACTTCGAAAAACATCCTGCAGTTCTAGCTGGCACATTCACTCTTTGAGTTGAACGATGTTGAGCGTGCCTAGTCAGGTGTTTTGATCACCGCCACTCAACCCCCCACGACAGTCCAGGCCTGTGTTGCCGCCTGGCGTGGTGTGGAGGACGCTGGTGGGGACTTCAGTGAGAGTGTGCTGGGCGGCTGTGGGCATCATGCACACCTAGAGGCCGTCCATGTGTTCCTTGTGGGCAAAAGCCCAGCTGTTCACGAAAGATGCCAAGAGACGTTCCTTTGCACAATGAAGCATCTGGCCTTGGACAAGCCATTCATGTTCATTCATGTTCACATTCTCCGGCCTGAATGGGCGGCCAGGCGCCAGACACGGTCGCTGCCACTCTGCGGCTCTGGCTGTTGAAGGTGGAAGACGGCCCCGCGACGTCTTCGCGGACGCCGTCCTCGACGTCCTGGACGCCGTCCTCGGGGGTGAAGGGGCGATGGCTGCTGCGTGCCGAAGCAGCGAAGATGCGGGGGGCAACGGGGAGGGGTTGGATATGTTTGGGAGGCGAACAAGATGGCCTAAGTGGAAAGAGAAATCTGCAGCCAGTTCATAAATGTTGTGCGGTGGGCTGGGCTGACCGCAGATGTTCAATGATTTCAGGCGAAGAAGCTCGGCAGCATTTGACGTCCTGGGCATCCAAGCTCTGCTGGGCGAATGCGCTGGCGAGCAACGCGACGCCGGGCGCGTGGCGATCCGTTGGCCAAGGCGGTTGTTTTGTCCATGGATTTTTGAAGAGAGATGCGTTTTGGATCCGGGATGGTCCGGGAGGCAACCTTTCGATCACCTGCTTAACCTTTTGGGAGGATTTGGGCCCTGCCTTGTCGTCCCTGGCCATTTTGAGATGGATGAGAATGGGGGGGTTGCTGGATCGGCAAGATATCATTGCAGGTCCATTCCTCTAGCAGCTAGCACCCCGAAAGCTCGGGCTCGGTATTTTGTAGGCCGTTGACACGGTGCTTCAATAGTCCAAAATACTTAGAATATATATATATATTTATTTATTTATTTAATATATACACATATTATGCATGTTCTAACGTTTTCATATGTCAGATTTGACATTCACAAGAAAGTGGCTCTTTTGTTTTTCAAGATCTTTGGTCAACTCCTGCACATGTCCCCACTCTGCAACGGAGCTTTCTGAACACCAGGCCTCCCGCAGCGTGACATCTTCGCACCGTCTCGCACTGCCCGGCGCTTGGCGGTCTGGGCTGCCGACTTGCCGGAGAGGCGCTTGGCACGGCACGGCGGCGGAGGGTCGTTGGTGGTGAGATGGACAAAACAGAAGGACTCGTCGTTGGGCACTGGGGGATCAGCATGATAAACTGGCGTTGGGCAAGAGTTTGGAAGTCCAAACGCATGTAACTGGCAATGGATCGAATTGAGCAGGGCTTGTGATGATTACGGAAGACGCGAAGAGAATAACTCGACCTGTGCCTTGGCTGGAGGCCGAAGAGTTCGGCCGATGCGGAGGTGGGTTCTGAGACGAACATATCTAGTCTAGAGGTGTTGGTATGACCGGTCGTCCAGCGAGCCGATGATGAGTTTTCATCATGATTCAAAGCTTTTCCAGAGTTGAAGTCAACGAATGCAGCAACAAGTTGAAGAGTTCAGGCACGGTGCTTGACGGAACCTCTTTCTTCACAGCCCTGGGAGTTCCAGGCGAATATCGTGTTCATGAAGCACCCTGGAAATCCGGAGCATCCTGGTATAGCCCGTCTTTTTCTCCCGCCAGGTCATGAGCCTCTCAGAGCTTTGGAAGAACCGTCCACGCTGCAGCCTCTTGGAGCGTCTGAAGCGAAACTTCTGACCCCTACGGGCCCAAAGAAACGGGTGTTTTTGGTTCCACTTCCGTGGAAGATGTGATGTCGGATGTCATGTTCGCTTGCTTGAAAAGAGGGGCATGTCTTTCCAAAGTTGGGATAGTCCGGATCCAAGGTCCCAAATTCATTCTCCATTTTCACGTTTGGCATTGGCCCGTGCGGGGGCTTTGCACCAGGCAGCTTTTTGTCTCAACGTGTTTGTTATCTCAACTAGCTTCTTTTTACGGATCATTTGCAGGGGTTGCTGGAAGACTGGGCTTATGAGTGTCCCATTGCCTGTACTGTAACAGCCGGTAGACCAGTATTTCTATTTCAGGGAAAAGCCTTTACTCACCATCATCATCCACTGTTAGAGGGAATGGTATATTTATATATGTAGATGTAGATACCAAATGCATTTTCATCAGCACAATCGGTCTGACGAATGGGGCTTCCAGGTCGAATGGCCTTGGCTCTGCAAGACGACTCCTTCGATGCAGCCGCCATTGTGCCTTCGCTTTCACAGACACCTGAAGGACAAAAATCCGATCGCTCTCAATTGGATTCGCATTGGAATCTTCTCGTGGGTGTCTCAGGGACTTCTTTCCGGATGAACCACCCAGACAGTAACAACCCTTGGCCTTCTCTTTGGCTCGAACGCACCGTCAGGTGTGTTTGGAGCGCACCAACGGCGATGTCACCATCGTGGGCATGGCGCAGAATCCCAGCGCCCCGCACCGCTGCCGCTTGGGCGATGTGCAGCCGCTCCCGGAGAAGGGGAAGACGAAGACCCAATGAAGATCCAGTCTTTTACCAGAGTTTACCAGACAGTCCATGAAAATCCATGAAATAGTTGCCGATCAGTTGGGGTGGTAAGTCAAGATGCTTTTTTGGATCAGTCAGGATGGTGGATGTTCCACTGCGTCTAGGTGAATGTTCCACCGTAGTTTCCCACGTCAAGTGAGTATGCGAAGGGTCGGGCGTGGGTCCCCCTGGTGCTGCGTCTGTTGGGGCATCATGAAGCTTGCAGTGCCGGAAGTTGGCCCCAGAGAGCCCAGTTAAGGCCTCCAACCATTTGAGAAGCAGGCTGGGTTTGGAGCACATCGCCCATCACCCATCGCCCCCAAGTTTGAGGTGAAGGGGTTCTGGAGCACATTGAGGAGACCGTGCAATCTTCCAAATGAGGTTCAGAGGGTGTGGTTTTCCAGCCTGGCTGACCTGCGGCTCCGTGTACATATTTGCTTAGACATTTGCAGTTCAGAAGTGGAACTTCGAGCAGAAAGAACACTGGCCAGGGGCATATCAACGTTGGACTCTCATGACTGACGCCTAACGTGGCTCTGTGGGCCTTTGCACGTTTTTGGTGTCATGCTTTAGATCAGCTTCTTGCTATTGGGTGGCCCAAATGACAAGCCATCCAATGCTCATTGGCTATTACTGTACAGCACTGTGTCCATGAACTATGCATGAGAGTTTGGGCATTGGCAACTGATGTGGCCCCTGCCTTAAGAAGGCTTCACGAGAGCAACTCAAAACACCTATGCGGGAGAGCCCCACCCAGACACGTATATTTCTCCCAAGTGCGAGAGCCTTTGCAAAGAGATCAGGTCGACATTGGCTTCAAACTTTAGTCAGATTAATCCTTTTGCAGATGACCACATGAACTAGAGGAACATCTCCTGCCGCGGATCAATCTTTAAGGGTCCATGTTCGTTGGCACCGGGGTACATGTTGGTTAACCTGATGTGACATGGAGGTGTTTTCACCACCGGGGGCGTAGGCACCGAACATGGTCACCCTTTCGGGGCCATGCTCCACGTTGGCCGGACGAGTGAGACCCACCAGATCCAACGAGTATCGAGAACGATGGCCACAGGAGACATGCAGAACTACTCGGTTTCGCTCCACCTGTAATCTGTGACGGATTCTGTATACATTGTTTGATGTATGCTCTTATATATATACACTCGTGTGTGTAGATTTTTTTATGTCTATATATATATATATTCTGTTATATCTACATACGGATACAGTAATACCGAAGTCCAACGGCCATACTTCTTAGTAAGCAATTCCGAGAGTTCCCGTCTTCAGGGAACACCGTTCCTCAGACCCCTTTCATTGGCCAACTGGACAGTTTCTCAGGGCATATGCATATGTATACTGTAATTATAGTCTATAAGTATATATAGTATATGTGCTGCATCTGCATATATATATATATAGATATGTGTGCATATACACAACACCTTGGAGCTCATGACTCATGCGATTTGTGTGGCATTCAGCAACCTCCTCAAACGTGGCCTTCAGCTTTGAGTCGTTGGCTCTGTTGTGTTCTCAGTCACACGGGGTCGGGGCGCCATGGACCACCTGGAGGTGGGGGTGGATGTATGTGGATGTGGTGGATGTCCTCCAGTGGGATGGCCCCACGGATGGTCAAGACCTCACCATCCACATTTGGTCTGAATCTTTGGAGGAACCCGAAGGAGACCCGTTATTTGTCTTGCCCCACACTTGTTGGCTGCTAGCTCCTTCTCAGGTGGGAGAAACTGTGTGGGGAACAAAAGCATCCTTTGCCGCTTTGGTAAGCTTCGGCCATCTATGAAGAAAAAGCAGAAAAGGAGGAGGAGGAGGATCATTCATCCTGTGCCCCGTCCTTCACTGCGTCCTCCACATCCACCGCTAGGCTCCGGGAGTGGTCAGATGAGTGACTGGGTGTGCCAGCCGCTGGTCGGGAAATGGCCGCTGAGGGGGCTCATGTGATGCACCCAGCCACGAGGCTTCTTTTGAATCCTAGTCAAGGACTTGGCTCGGGCGAACATGGGCGAAGGTTTGTTCGGAGAAATGTGGCTAATATGGGGAGCCTTGTTGCAGTTCTTGAGGCAAGCTAAGGAATTGGAGGCCCCCAGGCATCCAAGACGTGGCAGCTAAATCTGGAAATACTTGTTCAGGCTCTTCCATCATGAATTGTTGATCGCAGACTTGATGGAAATTGCGCGGACACCACCTAGGATGGACACCTGATCTATATAAATGCAACCCCTACATCATAGATCACCAAATAAGAGAGTGTAGCCAAGAAACATAGAGCCATAGACGTGTAGTTTTTGAGGGACCCATGTCCAAAAGGAAGTTCTAGAAGATCATCTCCTCCCTGAGGTACGGTATTACTAGTAACAAGTGCATCGCTATTAGTAGCAAGAAGCTACGGTATGGATGCTTTCAAGTTGAACCTTCAAGGTGTGGTTCCCGTGTCAGCTAACGCACCTCATCAGGTTGCGTATCCACTTTCCAAATTCTTGTCTTGTGGTTCGGCCACTTGCTCACCGCTTTGGCAGTGCAATTCTACCGACACTGCCAGTGTCGGGCTGCCTGCAACACCACATACGTGGCGTTTTCGTGTTCCTTTGAGTGTTCAAGTGTGGGACCCTGGGTCACCCTGGGTCGCCCAACAGACGCGCCCGAGGCACCCAGCCTGCAGCGCCAGCGAGGAGCAGCTCGCGGAGTTACGACTCCGGCGGCCCAACGGTGCGGAGACGAACGGGGCAGGGGGGGAGGTGAGTGAGGTGGTGAGGCCAGGGGGCATCCCCCCGAAAAGCCACCGGTAGATAACAGGTTTTAAGAAGGGAGGCCTTCGGAATGCATGGCTTCTGGATGTGCTTTCATGTTTTTCAGGCCCTTCCAAGCCAGATGGACAGGGCCAGTTGAAGTGACTTGTTTGTTTGCCAAAAGATTTTTGAGTGTTTGCATGTTTGGTTTAGTAGTTCGATGTTCAACTGGAGTGATTCATTCTGATGACATGAAAAGATGTCTTTTTTCTGGCTTTCCTGGGATTCACGGACATTCTCAAAAGGCACATGGAACTAAAGAGCACTACGCCACTACGCACCCAGCGCTATCTTCAGAACTTTCCAACCACCCTGGTGGCTGAACGTTGGGAAAGCGACCCCGCGATACGCGTTGGTGATACGGTCACACCACCGGTCACACCACGTCCGCGAGGTCCGCGAAATTCGACTCCAGGGTCCGATGGTCCGTGCCGTTGGGGTTGAAAAGCCGGTCGCGAGGTGTTCGGTGTCCTCGGAAGAACTGTCTAGGCGTCCCTCAGAAACACAGTTAGTGGGCGAGTGAGTGGAGAGCATCGATCTGAGTCGATGATTCTCGTGCTCCAAGTAGTGAGTTTTGGCCTGATTGATCCAGTTGAAACCGAATGCTGGATGGGAAGAACTGTGAGAAATCACAACGTCCAACTGGAGACGGCCAGTTTCATTTTTGCATAGCGAGAAAGCAAAAAAAAGGAACTACAAACAACAAAGCTTCAAATGATTTGAAGGCATTTCCTGTATGATGCACCTTCTACCTCCTTCTTTGGGGGGGAGGGGAGAAGGGTGCACTCCACTTCTGAGACCGTGATCCCCTCAATGTTCCAGAACACACTCGCTCCTTCCGTTTTTGTTGCCATCTCCGGAGGTTTTGCGCATGACGAGGATCCTTCCCTGCAGGTGTGCACCGACGCTTGGCCGGTGCTGGGCTTCGGTCCACTGATGGACGGGGGTGCTGCCGCTCGCGTGACGGGTGGCAGGGGCGAAGAGAGCCCGTTTAGGCTCCACATGGGAAGCTGGAAGATGCAGTGGATGCTTCTTTGGCTTGGCAGGCGCTAGCATTTGTAGAAAATTACCTAGAAATGTTGAAACGATAGTTGGATAGGCTAGGTAACATTCTCGCTCGTGTGGCCTTATTCTGCCTGTCATCAAGCGGTTGGTTGGATCTACACTGTTTTGACTTACATGTTCTTGGCCTGGAAGACTTGGGCTCATCGACTTCGAAAAGACTTGTTCAGTTGGTTGGGTCTTTCTTATGTATATGAGTACTGTATATGTTGTCTTTGTTTGAGACTTGGGTCCCGTCTTTGTTATACGTTGTTACCACTATGATCGGTCCACGACCGAAACGATTTGGCGCCACGAGGTCTCGGCTGTGACATCAATTCTACCGAGGGCGTCGCAGCCGAAAAACGCACCGTTTGCAGAGTGTTTTGCATTTTGGCGCCTGCGCACGTCTTAGTGCAAAAAAGATGGTTGCGCGCACCTCTTTTTTTACTCTATATTCAGAGGCATCTCACGTCCAAAACGCAACATGGACTTGTGTCCCCTTGTATGTCGTTTTTCGTGCGGAACGGGAATCATCCTCGCCCCAGGTTTGTCGCCGTCTACCGCTTCCTCGAGGGAAAGCCCACCCGGCCTCTCCGCCATTGGATGCCAGCTTCCTCGCGGGGATCAAAGAGGAGATGAGACTGAAGATACTGAAGGAATAACGCCTGGTAAGTTCAAGATGGAAAGCTATCTTCCTCTGAAAGCAAGTGGTTCTTGAAGTTCTATGTTTAAGTTTCCCGGTGCACTCTGTACTTACCAGCCCTGAACTAGACGAGGTCGAATTCGCGAGATTCGGCCGTACTCGGCCCGAAACCGACCGTGACATAGCACCTGGGACCCCATATTCGGTTTGGCTCACCTTCCGGAGGTGGATGGCCATGGCACGATGCCGAGGTAGGCAGACGCGGTTCCGAACAAGGTGGACCATCCATGTCACAAGGTGTTCCGTGTCAAGTGAGGCCGGCATCAGACCTGATAGATCATGATAGATCTGGGTCCCTTCGATGGCAGCGATAAAAGCAGATCAGCACGCCGTTTTTGGGGGTTGAGAGAGGCGGTCACCACCGTTACTGTAACGAGGTCCATGCCCACAAACAAAAAAACAGACTCAGACTCGGACCCTTTTTGGTGGCATCATCGTGCTGCAAGTGTTTTTGCATTATTTCGCGTTGTGTTGGCGTTGTGTTGTCCTGTTTTGGATGGTTTGGAGGAGCTGGCATCCATTGAAGAGAACGAGCAGAACATCCAGTCCTTGTCGCAAGTTTCTTGGACCTTTCTAACCGGAGCAAGGCGACTTTACAGTGGTTTCACGGGTTGATGGCACTGACATGCCCAACGAGCCAGTGTGCTCTTTTGATAAGGGTCGGCATCTTCGGTGTCCAAACCTCACTCCTTTACTGCCCCAAATCTCACAGCCTCATTCTGGCCACAAAATTCGGGAAGCACTCCAAGTCAATTACAGTGGGTTCAGAGTAGATGGCACAATACCCCAGTTCGGGGGTTCAAAACCGACCCCACCTACAAGACATCTTGGAGTGCCAGTCCCACCCGCCGACAAGCCAGCCCCTAGTTGACCATTTTGAAGATGCACCAGTTTCCACAAGAAAGTCATTTGGAGACCCAAATTCATTTATTGGTATGACCCACTGGCCTCCACCCCGATCGACGGTCCATCACTGCGGGTGTTCGATGGAGGTCTTCCGCTTCTATGCGGGGAATGCCCAGCAGCTGGCAGAGCTCTTGGTGGACTTCATCACAAAGAAGCACAGCACAAAAACGGGTGGGTGACCAACGAGGCAAACATGCAGGTAGATGCGTTCAGCGGGGACTTTGCGAAGTTCCTTTTTGGATGAAAGATCAGGAGGAGTCAAGAGTGGCTAAAGCCAGGAGTTAGTTTTTTAGTGTAGGCAGTTGTGGAGAAGTTAGGTCTCAGGATGCCTTAGGAGTGGTAGAGGGCGGGGCCTAAATATGTTCCAAAGCCGGGAGTTCTTTGGGTCAGGTGAAGGTGTTTGGTTTGGCGCGCACTACCGAACATAGATGTGCAGTTTTTGACCTGGGAAGGGCCTCCGAACCAATGGCCTTGGGTGGACCAGTCTCTACACCAGGAAGATGAACATGGAACATCATGGAACCTGAAATTTGACCTTGGGAAGACTAGTGACTATTTTCCTCTGCAATCCAGTGGTTTTCAGGTTCCACGTTAATCCTCCAGGGTCTAACAAAATCCTTGGCAGCATGCCCAGTGATGCTATTTGCCAGCACCATTCGGTAGAACAAGGGGAATACTACCCGTTCGTACTTGGCAGGGGGTACACGAGCTGGGCGAACTTTTTGGGAGCTGTGATGTGGTCACTTGTTAGAGGAGGAGCACCTGAGCCCTTACAAGAGTCTCTTGAACAATGGCCAGAGCAACCAAAGTTCTAAAGTTAGTTCCTTGCTCTACCTGGATTGCCTCTCCCCACCAAACAACAAGACGCTCAGCCTGTTCGAATTATGTTTGCGCCGGTCATTCAGATAGAATAACTGACTTGAGAATGAGGGAATGAACCACCCCTGGTCAGATGCCCATATATTCCTTACTAAGCACCAGTCAGATGGCGGCATATGGATGTTGTTCAGTTTGGGGGCCGGTGAAAACTGCCCATCCGAGCCGCCCCTGGCGACTCAGGCAGTGCTTTCCCTGGGAGCTGATGCATGCGATGCATTTGCTGGACGACATTTTGCTGATGGCTTCTAGGCTTCGCAAGGCCCAAGGTGGGAAACCAAATGAACCAAGAACAGCATTTGCAGAAGCAACGTGTGCAGAAGCAATTGGTCATCAACACCGGGTGCTCATGAGCTGAATGAACAGAGAAAAGAGAAAAAAACACTTCCAGTGGAGAGGAGCCCAATGATGACTGTCTAGTTGCGCTGGTTCGCTAGGAATGTTCAACATGCAAATCAACTGTGTCTTGACATGCCTTGGACCGATGAGGTTTCGCAGTCAAATACACCTCCCAAACCTCATCCAGGACCCGTCCGCGCCCGGATGCCGTCCCCCTTTGGCCGTGGGTCCTCGCGGTCCGAGGACAACACAGGGTCCTACAAAACTCAGTTGAAGAAACGTCCCTCGACGAGAGAGGAGGGAGGACATGGGAGGACAGAAGGGCAGGGTAGCCGATCTACTCGGCTCCATGATTCATCCAAATCTTCTCATCTTGGGTTGTTTTGCCAGGGCGAGCGCTGAAACAGCGCTCCATGAAGATACAACCTCGTGTGGGTCGTTTCGTGCTTTTGATGCACAACATTCGCTCTGCTCCTTGGAACATGTTACCTCGGCATTAAGGCCCACATTGAACAATTGAATTGTATCAAGAATTACCTCGGGAGCACTCTTAGCAATGCATGATTCAAGTACTTCTGTGTTTTTCCTGATCTCTTGTTCATGAAGTTGGGACCCTCTCACTCTACAGCGTCATTCCTCGAGCCCCCCCCCGCCGTCCGAAAAGCTCCGCACTTGTCTCCCCAACCGAGCTGCGCTTCCGCTTCCGCTTCCGCTCGGTTGAGCTGCGCTTAAGTAGGGGTGGTTTGGGAATGGTTGACACCTTCAACGCCCAAAACCTCCACGCTGCGTGGCCTTCGCCCGCGCTGCCTTCGGCCATCGCCCCAGCGTGCCGGTGCTGGTCCGCGAACGCCCAGGCATCCACGCCATCGCCGTGCACGCCTTCCGCAAGGTCCAGTCGGAGCTGGAAAGGCAAGAGGTGGCACGTGCCCGGGCGGTACGTGGTGGCGAACTCGTGACGGCGAGTAGGGAAATGGCCTTGGGGGTCCATCTTTGAGTCCCGAACAAGCATTGGAAGGCTAGGGCCTAGGGCATGGCTTTGATACGAGTGCATGATCGATTCGGAGGCCCTTTCAGTCACCTTGCCCATGCGAATCTGGATGCACAAAGCAATGGACAGCAGCCACCGAAACAGGGATTCCAAGCCAAAGATGGTGATTCGAAAGTGCCAAAAGCAGGGTCGCCCATGGTCTCTCTGCTGCTCCGAACCCTTGTTCACACATGGCAACCTTCAAGAATCCATGATGCGTTCTTCGAATGACCAGGTAACAGCGGCATTGACCAACACAGGACAAAGAAGGCCCTAATACCAGGCTCATGCGGTACCTGAGTGAAAACAACTTCACCCTCCTTCTGGTCCCAGCCTTGAAACTTCAACCAGTTCTCTGTTTCACTCCCTTTCCGTCCCACTGGTCGTCCTACTTGGCGCTTGGCGCCGACGGACGGGCGCGCGCGACGCTCTCCGCCCGCTCTGAGGAATGCTGCACGCCTGGCGGGAGCTGAAGATCTTCGAGAAGTCCGTGCTCAGTGCCATCCATGGCACCCTGCGCTCCGGCAACGAGGCGCAGAATCCGCCCGCGGGAGTATTATTCAAATCGTCGCTGGACAGAGACCTCTATGGTTATAGATGCGGTCGTTCTCGTTGCTTTTTCTCTGTTCCATACCTGGACCACCCAAGTAGTGTAGTGCACGTAGTCCAGCAAGGACACCCATTGCATGTTGTTTTCCCGCTCCTCTTGAGCCGATTGTCTCCGTCTTCAGCCTCCAAACAAAGCCGCAGTTCACAGTTCCTTTCACTTTCATGAACTGCTCTTTTCCCCTGTGCGGCTCCGAGCGCTTTTCAATGCAAACGGCCGAGTGCGAACCCCATAGCACCCTGAAAAACCAGTGAGCTCGCTCCCTCAACTTGCAGCGGTAACCCGTGGATCTACCACAGATCTACCCGTCGATCTCGTGGAGATCTGCCTCATTCGTTATGGGTTGCGAAGATCTCCAGAGTTGACGCAGATGAGTTTTGGCATGTGGGGCTATTTTACTGTGGTCAAACGATACCAAGTGAAAGCCAAAAGAATTACGAAGTATACAGACCCCAAATAGAATCAAATATAGATTCGTTTTAAAAAAACAGAGTAAATCTCGACTAAAGATGTATTATTGGAAACCGTGCCACTATGAATTGTTCGGTGCGGCCTGGTACGGCCCCCTCCATCGATGAGAGTGGCCAAGCCCCTGAGATCCGTTTTCCGGGCCGGGGCACTTGCCGTTGGTACGGACCTCCGATCACTGAAGCTAGTAGAAACAATAAGCATAGGAACAAGTGCATCGCTACTAGGAGCAAGGGCCTTACTACTAGGAACAAGAAGCTAGTAGAAACAATAAATAGAATTTGACTGAAGGCCTTTGCTCACATCCTGGACGACGCGGAGGAGGATGAGGAGACGAATGAGGCCAACGACTGCGGTGGGAGACGCATGCGCATGTCTTCCAAGGTGGTTTCTTTGCTGTCTTGAGCCAGAAAGACTCGGATTTTAGTCTCAGACTCATCAGACTCGCGTGTGACATTCACAAGTTTCAATGACGCCGCCAGGCTCCCGTGAACCACGTGACGCCCCCGTCTCACGCGCCGCGGGGAACTCCCTTTCCCGCGCCGGCGGGAAATCACCGCAGCTCTGCGACCGGAGAAGCAACCGCGAAGAAAGCGAAGGTGGGGAGGAGGTTGACCACGGGGAAATGGAAATGAGTCAAAGCTCCCATAAGCTCCCCCCACCAAACCATGGGCGGTTGACATCCCCTATATAAAGGGATCTGTTAAACCGTTAAACATGGTGCCCCGGTTTGACTGACAGGGAAATCTGGAGGATGGCGATGGTGACTCATTCACGTGGAAGCCCACAAGTGGGGGGCCAAGCTGCAACAGAGGGTATGACACTTGGATGTTTCTGTCGTATCCGATGCTTCTGGTGCATCATTGGTGCATCTCCTCCCAAGAATCCACACTGAAGATAGAAACGTGGCTAGGGAACGGCCCTATAGCTATCTAGAGCTCCTGGCCTCCGCCCTTGACTACGCGTCCCTCCACAGCGGCCAGGTGTCTCCGGGCGCGGCGGGAGCGACGGCTGCGGCGGCGGTGCCGGCAAGGCCGAAGGCGGTCACGGAGAAGGTGATGGCCATCATCAGTAGGTACCGGATCCCAAGGATGTGGGTGGTACTGTCAGGGAGGCCCCTTCTTCCCAGGCCCCTTCGGACAGCCTCGTGAATTAAGGACAGCTGCTTTCTTCGTCTTGACCACCAGGGCCTGGGGTGGTGGACCTCTCCTCCCACCTCGGAAACATAGGGCTTGGATTGTAAAGGAACATCTCCACATCACCCATTGGATTAAAAGCTTTGAGAACGGTTTTTGTTCAAGATGTTCAAGACACTTCACCCGTCCCAAAACCACGGAAACAAGGACAGGTTGATCATGTTGCCACATGACACAGTTGTTCACAGGAACACAAATTCAGTGAGCAAAAACGCGATATATATAATATATAGGTTTTGATTTCACCAAATCCACGGACTCCGGCCCCGTTCCCGGCACCGAACACAGCGAACACACGGTGTTCTGTGCTGCTTCCGCTTCGTCCACCGCGTTCTCCACCGCGTTCTCTTCGGCGCACGGCGGCGGGGCTGAGGATTGTGTCGGTACCCTTGGAACGGCCCTTCGAGCTGTTGGGCCTGCAAAGCGACTGCAAGGCGCCAACAGCGAGGTTCTGCGGAGCGCGACGTTCTGCGCAGCGATGTTCTGGTGGAAGTGGAAGAGCCCGATGGGAGGCACGAATTCTTCGTATGGAATCGAATGAAGTCAACACGGCGGTCCTGTGGTCAGTGTGTTGAAGATATACCACTGGTGGTGTAGCTTGTTGCTTTCAGTTTAGTCCTTCGCTTTGGATTTGCCTTCCAGGTTCCTCCAACGAAACCCCATGAGCCTAAGACCAATGTCGATCTCCGGTATTTCTTCAGGTTTGTAGGCAGATGCTGGCGACATCTTGCGACCATCAATGGGTCCATGTTCAGTGCCTGCGCTACTTGTCCATTTCACCTGGGGTCGAACTACAAAATCACCATCGCTACTCGGGTGGAGGCCATCACTACTAATTAGGGTGGAGACCATCACTACTAGGGTGGAGGCCATCGCTACTACGGTGCAGGCCATCGCTAGTAGCTTGGACGCATTTGGAGGCCATCGCTACTATAGGGTTGGAGGCCGCTTAGGTCTGTCGCTTCGCCCACCGCTACTCGTAGCCGAGTCTACGAGCTCACAGCGGCCTGGCCGTCGCGTCAGGCCTCTCAGATCCGGACGGCCTACCGAAAGCTGGCGTTGCTCATCCACCCTGCCACTGGGCCGTGACCAGAAGGGGCGACAGGCGGAGCTGACAGGGCCGGGGTCGGTGTCACAGCTTTTCAGGATCTTGCAGGTACGTCATGGGTGCTGAAAGGGCAGCGTGAAGCTGTGATAGCTATGAATAGCTATGATAGAACGGATTTGTGTCCAGCAATGGCTTGAGGACGGCAAGTTTCCTCACAAAACGGTTTGCGTGATTCGATCCTTGCTTATTCTGCAAATGCGCCCTGCAGCCTCCTCACGCAACCAGATACTGCCGCAACACCCCCATGCGTATGCAATCCGTCTGCAGAGAACCACAAACCCAAGAAAAGCTTGACCACCTGTGTCATGCATGTTTGGTTTGGTGGACACGCCTTTCTTCAAACTGGACATCCAGACAATGATCCAGGCATGTCTAGGCACTCCTTGTTTTCATCCCATCATCCAGACTCCAGACCAAGGGTGTTGTGCTAGCACGACGGCAAAACCAGGGGGAACTACTGACCCATCGTGAACGACCTCCACGAATTCATGTCTTCTGCACTTCTCAACTTTCCATCAACATCTCCTATAGTGGGTTTTCTTGCACGACGTAAAGCAGATCCGGAGCCATCCTTTTGACTGGGGGGAGACCTCCGATCCCAGGACAAGAACCCAGGCTCGGAAGCTCAGTGTAAAGAGGCCCTCATCAAGCTCCAGCAGGGCCGAGAACAGGTGCGGTGTCGTCTGTTCGAGCCTGTTCGCCTGTGCGCCCCCTTTGAGAGAAGTCGATGTTTGGTGGTTTAATGATGCGGATGCAGGCCTTGGTTCTGCGGTTTGTATGAAAGACTTCGAGTAGGTGGCCCAATGGATGATTGGGGCTTCAAGTGTCGCACAAAGGACCTGAGGCCAGGGGACCCCTGGGCAGTGAGTGGCGCGCACGTTGGAACAGCGAACGCATCTGCAGGTAGCAACTCATGTGCAGGTGCTCACCTGATGCAAAAACATCGCGTCCGGTGGGACACAACTCGATTTGCCCTGAAAACCTTCGCGCACAGGCCGAAAGTGATCTGCAGATGCGAGCGCCCCATGGCCAGCAAGATGATGTTTTTTTGTTTGGAGAACTCGGTTACCTCTCAGCATGGCCCATTCCAGATCACCAAAAAGCAGCTGAAGTCGGGCTCTCGCGTTGCATCCCCTGGCTCTTCCGGGTGAGGCGCGGCGGCCCGAAGAAGACGGACACCTTCAACATGGCTGCTGGGGGCCCCGGTCGGTCCGTCGGGCTGTTCGGGTCAGTGTTCGACCACCGGTGTAGGCGGATGTTTCGAGAGCGATGCTTCCCCGTCACCACAGAAGGAAAGAGAGAGAGAGAGAGAGAAAGAACGTTTGTTATCGTTTGTTTGCAGCAGGACTCATTTTGAGAGCCTAGACCTGGATACCCGGAGGCTTGTGCATTCGACGCAGACCTGGCATGAAAAACGCATAAAAACGCCATGCCTCCGCTCGCCTCGGCCCGTACGTCTCGCTCGAGGATTTGGACGAAACGAAGCCTTCGAACAAGTGCCCGTATCCAGGCGTGGCCAAGTCGGTCATGGTCGAACCAACGGGTGGGGCGGGGCAAGCGATGGGCGAAGTGGAGATGGGCCGGGCAAGCGGCCAAGCGACCGAGTATCTCTTTGCTGCAGTTGTAGGAAAGCTGCGTTGGGCCACCGGGCGGCCTATTCTAAATTGTGCAAGGGAAGATCGAGATGTTGAGATGTTGAGGGAAGCATCAGACCATATCAGACCCTTGAGATCCGAGTTCCTTCTCGAGGCAATCGCGTCAAGGTGTCCTCTTGCACAACTTGGCCATAAGGCACCACTGCCGCGGAAGCTCTCAGAAATATCAAAGTGAATGAGAATAATGAGAGGCCCCTGGCGCTCACGGCCCCGGCCCCTGGCGCCAGGTTGCGATCTGCCCCCCTGCAAGCAGTGCCCCAATCGATGTTGTACTCGTCACCTGGCGGTGAGCTGGGCGAGCGAAGGAGCGGGGGAGTAAGAAGACTGGCCGACTGGCAGGCGGAACTGCTACTTGAGACCCATCAAGGCCTTGCACGATGGGATGTATCACAGGTAGTTGGCCTTTTTGGGGTGCTTAAGATCCCAGTACACACTCCTCCCACACTCCTGCCCATGGAAAAGGGGCCGGCAATCTGGATGATGAGACCATGTGGAAGAGTGCTTTTCGGTCCTCGGGGCTGTAGTTGCTTCAGCAGGGGACCAAATTGCACTCCAAGGGGGGGCCTCTTTTGGCATATTGAAGGTTGAAGCAACCAAGGTCTGACCAGAGTTCCTTGGATTTTCTTCAGGGCCACCTGATCCATTCGGACTGGGCATTCGGAATAGCGCGCGGTTTGGCTTGCGAAAACCCTCCGCGTGCGAAACGGGCGAAACGAAGGGAGGCCCGCAGCGTGATCCCATCCTGCTGAGGCAACATCACGCATTGTCACATGGTGGCGCGCAGCCAGGGACACCCAGCGGGCCTCTGAAGGGATTCAACGATCAGCCGAGAGCAGTTCAATCACTAGATCAATCGAAGATAAATCGATAGGTGGGCAGGTAGAGAAACATGTGGAGGAGTATGTTCATGAGTGCTTGAAGCTGCTTAGTTTACTTCAGTTCTTCATGCGTTTTTTCCAGGTCTGTTGCCTCGTATTTTTTTGTGTTTGTTTCAATTTATGCTATCTATACAACACAGCTCTCATCCCCACGGAGGCCTCCCCACCCAAAAAAAGCGCTGTTTGCCTTTTCCAATGACCCATGACTCGTCATGCTTATTTTCTTGGGTGGCCTTTGGACCGCTTGCGCATCGTGGGGGGACCTGGAAAAGGTCGAAGCCTCGACGTCGATCGACGTCACGAACCTCGGCCGCCGCAGGTAAGGGTGGATTGCATTGCTATTTCCATCCGCCGCCCAGATCCTGGGCTCGCAACGCTGAGGCCTAGGCGGGCTCCGATGGACGAAGGGAGGGCGAACGCATGGACGAACGCATGGTGGTGATGCGGGCGAGGGGGGTGGGGCTTAGGTGGGCTGGTTCACGCATAGAGTTTGTCCATGGGGCATTGTGATTGAATCTATTTTGGGCATTGAAGAGCCAAAAAAATACGGGGTTCTCAACTGGGCACAAGCCATCCAAAGAAGATTGTCGGTTTCCGTGTGTGCAACTGGCTGTTTCCAAGGCATCCTGGAGGCGGGTCGAGAATCTTGCTGTTCGATTTGGCTTGGTGCCGATGGTAACGGTCCAGAAATCAGCAAAAGAACTTGGAGCTCACCATGTGTTTCATGTAACACCTCCAGACAAGCGACCAACCTTGCTGAGAAGGACCCTCCAGAAAACAGAGCTGCAACCCAGTCAGCCAGTCTAGTGTCTAGTGCTGCAGGTGGTTTGGCTGTTTCCACGTCAGGTTTCATAAGGATAAGGAAGGGGCCCTCGAACAAGGAAATGGGAATGGAAAGGCTCTGAGCATGCGTTCGCATCCATTTTCGCTGCGGATCAACCAGCAACGTCATCGTGAAGCAGTTGTAGCAACCTCTGAGATGCATTTCCATTGGAAAAGGGGGCTGGGGGTGTTCCCTGTCTACTTGGGGGGGCATCAAGCTTATCCAAGAGAACTAGGAAGAAGAAGCATACGGCTTCACCTCACACATCCCCAGTGGCTTCCTTTGCTGGAGGCTCGTCGATGGCCACATATGGCCGTCACGTCCTGCGTGAGCGAGGGGGAGAAAAGGGGCGGCCAAACCAAGCGCAGGATGAGCCATGAAAGGTGTGTGGGGTATGGCAATTCAAGATCATTGATGCGGTCTTTCCAAGGGTTTTCGGGATCAAACCATGGTACTCTTTGTGCTGCAGGTGATCGGGTATGAATGCCAAAAGCAACTTAAAACAACTGAAACAAATCTTTGAAACACCTCTTTGAGTCTTTGAGCAACGTTCTCAGGCAAGATCAAGTACTTTCTCGTGTGGCAAGACTTGTTCTAGACTTGCACCAGCATGTTGCGCTTTGAGTTTAAGTTTGCTACCTGAGAGGTTAAAGGCCGCCCTGCACTCACCTTTATTGGAGAGTCCCAGTACTACTCACCCTGATGTCGATGTTCAATTTAAAGCTTCCCGGAAGCTTGGGGAGATAGTCATAGTGGTGCAGTAAATCATGATAGCCAGTGTGATGTCATTGTTTGTTTCAGCGCCGTAGATCTTCCATCATCTTCCATCCTTGGAACCGATCTTGCCACATGAAGAAAAGACTCGCACACTCGTACCACTGCCACTTCGCTTTCACTGGCTTGAGCACCGCCCCACCAGGCCGCGACCCACGTTCGCCCGACTTCGGCTCCAGTGCTGAAACCGGAGTTCCCGCCCGCCGAACCGGCCGAGTCTGCACCCGGACGGTGCCCGCCGCCATGCCGCAGCGGAAGACACCGCCGTTGAGCCCATCGGAGAGTGTGGCAGGCGGAGCCGAGACACGGAGCGGTGGGAAGAGGTGGGAAGAGCCTCGGTGCGGAGCCCCATCCCCGAGGGCTTGCTGCAAGGGTGAGCGGTGGTATTATTTCGTGTGTGTGTGTGTGTGTCTTTGCTTTCTTTGAGCTTTGATTGGTCTTCTTCAACACCCGGTAATTACGGGGTACTGGGATCTGAGCAGAGTCAGCCACTTTGGGTGGAAAATGTGTGAGATCCCGACATGCTTCACCTGCAGCCTCAGCATTCCGTTTCCACAGTTGGAGAAGAATAGATCAGAATCTTTGCACCTTCCCGTTCGCACCACGCCCACTTCCACCGGTGAGAAAAGAAGGCATGCTCGATGGGCTTGCGACCTTCCGGATGGAGTTCGTAGCCAAGCAGGAGCAGCTTTTGTGGCTCGGCAGGGTTGGAAAAGAGGCATTTGTGCTCCCAGGGGCTTTGAACTGGATGTGGCCTGCGACAACAAAGAAGCAACTCAAGGCCTTGAATGGCCCATTCGAAGGGTATGATGGGGGGGGTATTACTTTAGATCCTACATTAGGGTTGCCAAGACTGCTTCCCTCTTTGGGTGTTTTCAAGGCCCCTAGTAGTGCCCTGGTTCATCACCCATTGATTGGCTCACCTGGATGTTCTCAAAAGATTGGTGGACTGAGGAAGAGTTTGGATCGGGAAATGGAGAAGGCGCAGAAACCCGACCGGCGTGGCGCGACCCGTGGCGTGACCGTGGCACCGGGACTGAAGTCTTCCGGATGGGGGGTCTCCCCAACCCAGACCCTCGAGAGGCTGGTCCTGGGGAAGCAAGAGTCCAGGCGCCCAAAGTTAGGTGTATGATTCTTGCAGTCCTTCTACGTCAAGAATCACTGTTCGTTTGTGCTTTGCTGGATTGCTCATCTTGATGCCCGGAGGTCCAATGGGCCACGAGGCCTCCGCTTCCCCGTCGCGAGGCCAAGCTGCTGATGCCCTTGCCGCGGGAAGGGGCTTCACCGCCAACGATGCCTATGACGCACAACGCCTGGAGCAAGGCGGTTGGGGGGGCACAGATGGAGAGGATGAAGAAGGTGGAGCTTCTGAACGCCCGAACGGTGGGAGCTCAAAAATGAAACATAGAGAATCAGCAGGGGTGATTAGGGCGATCTTGGAAAAGATGGGTGTGAATCCTGGCTGTTGCATCTGAATTGTGGTCCAAGCATCAGATAGAGCTGGCTCCACCTGGAAGGGAGTTGGCTTACCCAAATCGGCCCAAGCTTCATTAAACACAACCATTGAGTCATTTGTTGAACTTATTGAGACATCATGGCGCGGACAAGCGAAGTCATGTCAACACGAAAAAGAATCGCGATCAAAAATATTTCTAAAACGAGATGCATGAGATGAACCCCCTCACAATAGAGACTATAACACAATAGAATACAATAGATGTATTGTCGATCGACCTCAGTGACAAATAGATTCAGCCGTTCACATAATATGCAGCTATGCTAGTCAATGGCTAACCCTTCAACCTTGTTTCGACATTGCGACATTGGCATTGAGGCATTAACTTAACATGTCCCTTCGTAGGTTGAGCACCCGTGCTAATCAGGAACAAGGCTTATCCCAGGTGCAGGCTATTGCTTTGGGAGGGGAATGGCCAGATGTGGAGTCGCTTTCGCTTGGCCATCCAACCGTTGTGCCTTCCTGCAGGACAAGGCGACGGCAGCCACAGTGAGCAGTTTGCAGCTCCCCGGAGCCGTACCAGACATTGAGGAAGAGACAGAGGAGGAGGAGCGGTTCAGCTGGCTTGACCAGGTGAGAGGAGATATATATAAAAGTTATAAGTAAGTTACTTTTAGCCCTTCCCTGAAGCTCTGGCCGCTCTGGCCTGCCTGTGCTGAGTGCATGATATTTGTCACTGTTATATATATATATACAGTTTTAAAAAAAAATATATACAGTATACTATATATATATATTACACTTGGCCAGACGGGATCTTTTCACCCAGTGAACGTAGCATATTTAGTGGTCCCCAAATAGATAGAAACCGTGTCCAAACCATGTTTAGTGGGGATCTACTTTTCTATCCCTTTGGGGGGGTCTATATAATCGTCCATGGTGACTCAAATCGTCGACCGATAGGTTTCGGTCAAGTGATTTGGAGTGAGATTCACGCACTGCGCCTTTGGGGTGTTTGACAAGCTGCTTGGGCTTTGTGACCGCAGGAGGTCCCTGAGAAGAAGGGTGTCTTCTCTGCAGGGCTGCGCCTTGAACAAAGGTCATGGATTTGGGCCACACGCCCACGATCGCATGCACAAGCAACATAGTTCTTTTTGAAGTCCCCTGCAGGTGCATCAACGCTTGAGCCGCTCAAGGCTCAAGACTGAGGCACCTTGAAACGGGTCTTCCATGTTGTTTCCATCAAAGGAATGGTGTGCAACGATTCCTCTTTCCCCTCTTCGGGTATATAGGAGTATTTGGGGAGGCCTTGTGACAAAGAGGCCTCAGCAGCTACTGTGGAGTACCAGTTGGCCAGCAGCATTGGCTATAGTTGCCTTCTTCATCACTCTTGTGGAACAAAAGGATGTTTACACTCTGACTCCTCAGCATGGAAGTGCAAACCACACGGTGTGTAGTGGAAAATCGATAAAAACCGCCAAAGGCCATTGGTCCACCTCCATGAGTGCTTCAGGGCGCGTATATATTCTCTCTTTGGATTCAGGCCCCTTCGGCCGTTTAAGGCGACACCCAGAGGTGGGGCCTCTGAGAGGTGTCTCCAAGGCCCGGAGGTCCGGGGTGTTCAGTGGTTCCTCCCCGAGCCCTAATGAGGGAAAGGTGGAGCACCTTTAAACCGTTTGGGGATGGAGTTTGCAAATGTTGGTTTCCCTGCGAAAGATGCACAGATGGACAGTTCGGCTTAAACTTGCTTCTTTGTCCAAGGGGAATAACACTCTCCGATCGAGCCAGCCCATTTCATCCCAGGCCCTCGATCGCGGAGCTGCGGAAGAAGACCATCCCGTGGATCCACAAGCAGGCGCCACCGGCGCGGCGCGCGGCGAGTGCGGGAGCGAGGGGCGTGCTTGTGGGCGCAAGGAGCGAGGGGCGGGTTTGCGGGAGCTTTTTGGGGGGTGAGAAGCCACGGTGTCACGTGTGTCCACATCGCACCACTGGTCCACAGGCTGGTAATTAGGCACTGTCTTGAGCAACCTGTAAGCTACTGCATTGCTTTCCTCTTGGACGATTGGTCAGATAGCCTCAGATCGGCCGTGACTGGTGACGAGAGGCAGCAGCCCAAGCACCCGCGCGCTCGCCACGTGGCCAGCGCGCCGGACCACTCCGGGCGAGAAAACAGTATGGCACTTATTCGCCTTCAGAAACTCCTTGGTGAGGATGCTGAACAAAAGGATCATAAATCATAAATGATCATCCTCAGCTAGATGATCATCGTCAGGTATTAGAACAAGTACGGTGATTTCCTGCAGATTCTTCTGTTCTCATGCAGCTCACCCAAGCCTTCCGGAAAGACTCCCGATTTCGTCATGAAGCCTATGGGCCCTGGGCCTATAACCTGGGCCCGAGGGCGGTGGGTTCCAAACACTACGGTGAAAAAGGTTCTACATACCCTAGTAACAGTAGAAATCCTCAGAAAAAATAATAGAAGTCTTCATGACTCGAGACCATCCCCGCCGCTTGGGAAAGAAGTTTAGATGTTTTGCGCTCTATAAACCTCTCGGTGTGGTCCAACTGAAGCGCTGCCCCCGCAGCATGAAGAGCCACGACTGGAACAGCAGAAATCGCCAGGGCACTCGCCTCATGGAGAAGGAAGAGGGGCATCGGGCCTTCTCAGAGCAGCTCGGATGGCCACTGCAAGCAACAGGCAAGGGATGACCAGGAATTCTCCGAGGCAAAGTTGGGGGGCAAAAGGTAAACAGCAAAATCGTTTTTAGTCCCAAAGCGGGTGAAAGTGTTTGGTGTCTTTTGGATGTGCATTGCTTTGCTTTGGCAAAGTCCCACAGGTTTGGCTGGTGTAGGGCATACTTTCCTACCATGTCATCATGCTCAAAGGAGGCGCCCATGTTCGCTTCGCGACCAGATTTGTGAAATGCAGAATGGATATAAGCCCTAGCTTCCAACAACCATTAGTTTAATAGGCTTTACCGAATCAACTAAGGATTCTACACTACAAAAACCAGGTCAACCATTGTTTAAATGGTCTTGGAAGCCTAGGGTAATTATATAAATATGTTTGAATGGGTGGATTTCTGGATGAATCGGTTGATGTCTCCGAAGACCTATGGGAAGCTATGAAGAGACAGGCCACTGGAACTGTCCCACCTCAAGTTGCTGCTCACCAACACCCGGATCTCGCCACTCACCACCTCGGTCTTCAGATGGCCGGGTTTAAGAAGACGACATGGCAAGTGCGAAAAGAAGCAGAAAGGTACACTCCGACTATCTCCGACTCATCAATAAAACCCCCTTGAAAGCAGCCTTCTTTTGGTAAAAGAAAGTAACTAGTCTTGCAAGGGACCATTGGTGAGTCCGAATGTAGAGATTGAAGGTTCTGTTCACCCACGGCTGTGAGTTAGCAGCGGTTTTGGACCTCCAGGGCCCTGGCAAAAGCGGCTGAGTTCATGGTCATTGCTGCCAAATCCAACCACCCTTTTGCTGGATGCGGGTGTCCCCACACCCCAACCACCCAGCCAACCACCACACAAGGCAAA